TGTAGTACTGTGGATATTTCCTCACCACAAATCGATACAGGGAAACAAGTATGGTGCGATTGGGATCTATTCAGCCCCAAAACAATGATCATGTACTGGAAAACTGTTCTGCCCGAAATTCCCTATGATAAAGCAAGCATGCTGTACCAAGAAACTGTTCTGGGCCAAAAACTACTAACTGGGATATAAGCATGGTAATTACTGAGAACCTGTTCTGCCTCAAACTCTGCAGGAAAACAAGCATCGCCTACTGGGAACGTGTCCTGCTCCGGAAACCCCACAGGGAAGAAAGCCACACAGGATGAGGTGTCAACTGTCTGCCAATGGCCAGCAGAAATAACAGACACTCTTATGTATGTTATATGGGGCAGTTGATAATCGATACCCACACATTGTTCCCGCAGGCATATCAAGGGTCAAGTTGTCGTGTCAGGCGATATCTCATGTCTGCATAATGTGTTACTAGTTGGATACTGAGACCAGGGCCAGTTCTTCTCAATGAGGGGCGGTCTGGTAGCCTAGTGGTTAAAGCGTTCTCTCGTCACGCCTAATACCCGGGTTCGATTCCCGACATGTGTACAATGTGTGAAGCCCATTTCTAGTGTCCCCCGCCATGATATTGCTGGAATATTGCTAAAACCGGCGTAAAACCATACTCACTCACTCTTCTCAGTGTTTCATATTAAGATCTAGGCATAAAGGTTCAGGGGGCGGTCGGGTAGCCTAGTGGTTAAAGCGTTCGCTCGTCACGCCAAAGACCCGGGTTCGATTCCCGACATTGGTACAATATGTGAAGCCCATTTCTGGTGTCCCCCGCCGTGATATTGCTGGAATATTGCTAAAAGCGGCGTAAAACAATTCTCACTCACTCATAAAGGTTCAGAGTGACATAAAACTAGCCACAAGGCTGTGTGACAAGAGGGATGACTTCACTTTTCCAGTAGTCAACTTTCCCTTTATGTAGAGCAATATTCCATCAGCTCCAGCCTTTGGTGTCTAGATTACACAACGTCTGAGGTACAGTGTTCTTCCTATGAAGGGGCGGTCGGGTAGCCTGGTGGTTAAAGCTTTCGCTCATCACGCCGAAGACCCGGGTCCGATTACCGACATGGGTACAATGTGTGAAGCCCATTTCTGGTGTTCCCCGCCGTGATATTGCTGGAATATTGCTAAAAGCGGCGTAAAACCATACTCACTCACTCACTCACTCTTCCTATGAAGATTTCAAAGAGCGTCATATGACTCTCACTAATAAGTGGCTCGATCAATGCTACAGTTCTTGCCCAGGAACGTTCCAGGCCTTAGTAAACCTTTCAAAATGTTTTATGGAAGACATTTCTGTATTGAAAGCATCAGTGACAAACATGATGTCCGATGCAATTCCTTCATTTAATTGTACCATGTGTTCCCATCTTTTTTCAGGCGAACAATTGACTTGCCTTTTCATGTGTTTGTGATGGTGCCACTGGTGGGGCAGGATATTCTCACCTTTTCACCAACTCCTGGTTTCGTCAATATTTGATAGTGATTCATAACTTCATGAACTGGGCCCTGTGTGCTAAGACTATTGTAAGTCTTTGTTGGAGTAAGGGAGTTAGAGTAGTTAAACCACAATGATTGCTTGGACCTTGGACTAAGGCTTTCTTAGTGCTATATATAGTGAGTATAATGATCATCTTAGCACTAAGATCACTTTGTGGAATTGGGTCCTGTTCCTCAGAGATTTTAGCACTTAGACCACACACACACACTCACACACAAACACACACGCACGCACGCACACAAACACACACACACACACACACACAAACGCACACGCACACACACACACACACACACATACACAAACACATACACACAAACCAATCATTCAAGACACAAACACAAACACACACACCAAAATCATCCGAGCCACACACACACACACCCACACACACGCATACACACACACACACGCATACACACACACATACACACACACCCACAAACCAATCATCCAAGACACACACAAAAACACATACACACAAAATTCATCCAAGCAACACAAACACACACACCAAAATCATCCATGCTACACACACACCAAAATCATCCAAGCCACACACACACGCACACGCATACACACACGCATACACACACACGCACACACGCACACACACACACACACACACACACACACACACACACACACACACACACACACACACACACACACACCTCTTTGACATCTAAAATCTAAATCTCTGCGGAACTGACCTAGGACCATAAACGTTCCACAACAAACAATTCAAACAACAAGTAGTTACCGTATGTCAAATCCATTAGTTAATTATCAAATCTAAATCCCACACGTCAAACTACTCAAGATAATTTGTTAGTAAAAAACCCACAAGCCGTGAAATTTATACAGTGTGATCCAGTCTTTGTGACATGCAGAGCTGCAGTCAAATTAGTTAACATCCATTTCATGTGGTCCGTGGCTCTATGCAATAGATAGAGGAATCAATACGAGCCACGGGGCACACGGGCAAAACAAGGCACATCAGTGCTATCGAACATGGAAGATAGGTCAAATGAGATCCAACGATGATCGATCACATCGAGCCCAAGTTGTCAACCTACAAGAAACGGAGCAAGCCTTGCAGGATTACGAAGTTCTAAAGGACCACTGAACCTTTTGAAGGGGAAATTGCAATTGGATGAAACGCATGTTACTAAGTATTATGTGGTGAATCGGATGACTGGACGTTACCCGTCAGTGGTCAAACTGGTGATGAGTTTTCCGATGAGGTTTCTAGTTTCTTTGTCGATTAAAACATTTTCTTGTCGTTTTTTAATTTTAGTCATGAATTGCATTACAACTGCATTACAATTGCGTTAGCTGCAAAGATGGAGTAATTCAGATGCCCACTGTAAGGGGAGGGGGTAACTGCTCAATGTGTTTGCCTGTTTTTTGGCTCTGCTGCTGAAGCTTTGTTTGTTTCTTTCTTTGTTTGTTGTTTAACGCCACACTCAGCAATATTCCAGCTATATGATGGCGGTCTGTAAATAATCAAGTCTGGACCAGACAATCCAGTGATTGACATCATGAGCATCGATCCGTGCAATTGGGATCCATGACATGTATCAACCGAGTCAGCGAGTCTGACCACCCGATCCTGTTAGTCACCTTTTACGACAAGCATATTCACCTTTTACGGCAAGCATGGGTTGCTGAAGACCTATTCTACCCCGGAACCGCTGAAGCAATTGTTTTTTTCAATCGCAAGTTTTTGACAGATGTTAGAGACTAGGGAAATTTTATGACATAAAATATTTGACATTGCAGGTCAAGGTCAGTCAGTATGATTTAGGTATCCAAAAAGCTTGTGTACTTGTATTTGTGAAAGTAATTTGTTGAATCTTTTTATGACATGAAATATCTGCGTGACATTGTAGGTCAAGGTCACTCAGTATGACCTATGCTTGTGTACTTGATAACTTTTGTATTTGTGAGAGGCATTTTTATTGAAACTTCGTATACATTTTTCTAAGGCTGGGGCTGGATGGCAATTTTGGGTGGATGTTACCCATGTGAGGTTATTGGAGGTCAATTCATGAACCATGGTTGAAATTTAATGAAATTTCTGATTACTTCATGAAAAATCTGCATGTTTTCAGATCATTTATGACAGACTCCCAATAATGAACTCAATACCTGTCACATGTGTAAACCCTGTTTCTGGTTTCCCAGTCATGATATTGCTGGAATCTGGCTAAAAGCGTCATAAAACAATACTCACTCAAATATCAGGGTCACTTTCAAGGTCATTCACTCACGAAATGACTTGCAAATAGTTTCATTCAGAAAGTATTGGCAGAAAGATATGGAGACTTGATAACACGTAATTTGTGATAGAATGATGTTGAAGGTCAAGGTCATGCTGAGTGAAGTAGACGGTCCGAATGTGACCTCAATATCTTGAGTGAGTGAGTATGGTTTTACGCCGCTTTTAGCAATATTCCAGCAATATCACGGCGGGGGACACCAGAAATGGGCTTCACACATTGTACCCATGTCAGGAATCGAACCCGGGTCTTCGGCGTGATGAGCGAAAGCTTTAACCACTAGGCTACCCTGACTGCCCCCCAATATCTTTATATACATATGATCTCAAGCCAGTTCATGGCTGACATTGAAGGTCAAGGTCATTAAACCAGAAGTTTAATTACTAATAACTGTATTATTGAGGTGCTTCCAGGTGTAGGACTTTCTGTTTCAAAGTTGTACTGTGTTTTCATGCAAAAACAGAAGAATCCCACCCCCACCTTTCCCTGAATGCCCCCAAACGTCCCCATCAGCGCTGCCCCACACTGAAGCACATGTAACACAGGTGGCGTCTCCTTGGGCAGGTGGCTTTGTTCGGAATGTGCCTCTGTTCACCCAGCAGTGAGTGGGTACCAGGTAGGATGAGATAGCAATGTGGTTGTTAACCTTCTAGTGACTTACAGGCAGCTTGGGTTGTATACTTCACAGGGAGTTGAGAATGATTGTTGATTGCATTGTTGATCAGCCAGTCTGTCTGTCCGTAATCATTTCCTTTTCCGGGGCAGAATTCCAAAACCATTCAGTCTATTTGATCGAAACTTGGCAAATCTATCAGGCACTTACTGAAGTGGTGCCTTTTGATATATTTTGTTTACAAATTTTTATTTTTTACAATTTTTATGGAAAGAAGTTGGACCTAGACTCCATTGGGGAACGGGTTCGTTTCCGGGCCAGAATTCAAAAACCATTCAGTGGGTAAACAATGTTTGCTTCTTAAAGAACATTCAACTCCTGAATCATTACATACAGAATTGCACATTTACTAGTGGTTACTTTACAGACAGCTGCCGGGGGGATATGTCATATTTCTGATGACTCTTGTTAACTAAAATTCTGTTCAAAGGGGTGTTAAGCCAACTATTGAATATGAGATAGCTTATGAGAAATTATCATCCATTGTATTATGTTTCAGATGTCTGGCCAACGCTACAAGCGTACAAACTTTGATGACGATGACACGATATCGAATGGGGGTACGCCCCCTGCCGTTGACTTCCATCCGGGGATCGTGTTCAAGGGGGGTCTGACGCTGTGGCAGAGGAAGACCACCCTGGAGAAGGTCCTCATCGTCCTCCTCATCCTCCTGGCCATCTCTCTCATCGTCATCGCCGCCATCTTGGCCGTCAGGGAGTCCCAGCTACAGGATCTGCGGAAAGGAACAGGTGAGCTTTGTTTTCCATGTTCCTATATTAGTGGGGCGGTCAGGTAGCCTAATGGTTAAAGCGTTTGCTCATCGCGCCGAAGACCCGGGTTCGATTCCCGACATGGGTACAATGTGTGAAGCCCATTTCTGGTGTCCCCCGCCGTGATATTGCTGGAATATTGCTAAAAGCAGCGTAAAATCAAAATCACTCACTCACTCACTCCTATATTAGTGTACCATGTGGTTAGGGTATACCTATTTCGTTATATGTTATTGGATGTTTTAATTTGCCATGATTCCATATTACATATTACCCATTAGCTGTGATACGTTTCTTCTGATCAGTCTTTTATCTTGAATTTGCAAATAAATGACACGTTTTCTGTGAAATGTGGTTTTTATTTCTTGTGAATTGTAATTATATTCATTATCATTTTTTGTGTCGAAACTGGGAATACCATGTAGTACATTTGGTGACAGTTGCCTAAAAATATCAAGAAACCTCCGAGGCTTGGTCTTTCTGACAAGTTGTCAATAATATGAGATACAGTCCAAGTTTAAAGATGTGAAAACATAAACTTGATATTGATATGGTCGCCATCAGATTGATCACTGACGTATTGCTTGGATTGATAAGAATTATTTCTCATCTCTATCTAATGTACTCAATAATTATCCATGATTGTAAAATGGGTGGGAAAATTACCTGTGATCTGTGAAAAGGTGGTCTGAGTTAGCTGTGGAAAGTTATTGGGCAGAGGCATTGCCTACCCTCTAACATGGTTAGAGTCATAGTGAGGTGAGGTGAGGTGAGGTGAAATGGGGTTTAACGTCACGTCCAAGATTATTGCACTTATATAGCGACGTGCATGTACGTGTGTGTGTTTGTGTGGCTGCTTGTACTAGTCCGGACTGATGCCGATTTATAGTGCTAGCTCACTGAGATACCATGCCGCAGTTTAACATGAATACCCCACTGAGACACAGTATACTGACTCCGAGCCGACCAGTCCTTGTTTTAGCCCCTCAATGCCGAGCACCAGACAGGGTAACAACAAGTACCATCTTTTAACGTCTTTTGGTATGACGCGGCCTGGGATCGAACCCCGGACCTTCCGCTCTCCGGGCGGACGCTCTACCACAAGACCACGGAGGCGGTCTAGAGTCATAGTTGCATGGTTGATATGAGTTCCTGGGCCCCGTTCCACATTTAAGTAGGGGAGGGGGGCACGGGTGGCCCAGTCGTCTAAGGCGCCGCGATTCGCTGTGCAGAGTTGCGTCCCTTGGGCACACCCGAAACCTATGATTGTGGGTTCGAATGCCTGTTCGCCCCGATTATGTTTCTTGGTTTGTCAGCACCATACCCGTGCGCGTGGGTTTCACCGACGTGGTAAACATCTGAGGCCTGCATCACTTCGGGCTTTCCTCCCACATTAAGCTGACACGTGATATAACTGGAATATTGTTAAAAGCGGCGTTAAACCCAACTCACTCACTTAAGTAGGGGAGTTATGATCACCTTAGAACTAGGATCGCTTTGTGTTACCAGACCCTGGTGCCGACAAGGAGCAAGCGTAGAATTTGTATTTTTTACTACAAAATAAAATATGGCTTGAAGCTTGTGATTTTGCATAGGTAAACTGGAGAAACTCATGGTCACTTTATCTTGGTCCTTGGTGAGTCTCATATAGTCTCATGAACAAGCACATTCATGGAGTCAGATCCCCTACACCCCTCTATTGACAAATGGAAAGCATATTACAAGATGGCGATTGGCCAATAAGATAGGGTGGGGAGATAACACTTCATTATCCCCAAGGAAATTTGGGTGACATCAGCCAAAGATCTCAGCTTATTGATAGACACACATACAAAGCTTAATAAGAACATCACAATCGTAATTAACATTAATTGTGTGAGTTGGGTTTAACACTGCTTTTACAGTATTCCAGTTATATCGCGGTGTGTCAGCTTAATGTGGGAGGAAAGCCCGAAGTGATGCAGGTCTCAGACGTTTACCACTTTGGTGAAACCCACGAGCACGGGTATGGTGCTGACAAACCTAGAAACATAATCGGGGCAAAGCGGGATTCAAACCCACAATCATAGGTTTCTGGCGTGTCCAAGGTACGCAACTCTGCACAGCGAATCGCGGCGCCTGAGATGACTGGGCCACCCATGCCCCCGACATTAGGTGTGGGAGCAATGCTCAACAACTATTAATCACAAAACTTATTATAAAAGCTGGTTCTGGCTCGTATGAATGAATTCCGGGTGATGTTTGTTCTCAACATCGGCGATCAAGGTCGGTGTCCAGAAGGAAATAGTGATACTCTGAATGTAAAGATGCGAGACATCGCTTAATATTTTATTTGCTTTATTAATTATCCGTGTTCCTAAATACTGTCGATATCTTGGAAGGAGATGGCAATGATTCTATTCGCTGTGTTACAGATTTTGATCCGTTTCTTTTTGTTGCGAACAGACAGGTTTCAAAACCAGCTAGTGAATTTAAAAGTCAGAATACTTAAAATAAATGTCATTGACATGATGCTAGCATCAATTTGAAAATGTCTTAACCACTAAGGAAATATCACCTCTGTTGACCTTTTGTTTATACCAGATTCAACGTAATAGGCGCCCAGGGCGCTCTCAAAATTAGAAATAGGGGGCTCTTATTCGAATATAACTTTGGTGAAAAAAGATCGTAAATTTGTGGTTTATGCTGACAGCCTGAAATTATACAAAAGATAAGTCTGTGCATATTATACACAACAGATTATTTTTCCAGAATGTATTTGCCCTTATTTAAGGGTGCATATGACACACGAGTGCTATTATACACGAATAAAAAAAGTCTTGTGTACATTGATCAATCGGAACGGGTGCTAATTGGGATTGTTCACTGGCCAATATATTAGCAGATATCTCCGTGGGCGCTTATTAGAGCGTGGGCTTATTACATCGAATACGGTATGTATTTGCATCCCATGTCAGATACTTATGCTAGCCTACAACTTCTATTGCCTCAGTATCAGTGATAATTGTATTAAAACATGAGTTATCGTTTCTGCAATCTATGACCATTTCCTTTGTTTTCCTGTCATTTAAAAGCAGATAATTATCCTTACACCAAGATATAACATTAGAAATTTCATTTCCAGTCTCTAGTTCTGAATCTGGATAAGACCTGCAAGTGCAGCTTATCTGCAATTTTACAGTGAAGCAATTACCGTGGTAACAAAACGACTGATACAGTCATTGGTGTACAAAATATATAAAATGGACAGGATGACACCACCTTGGGGTGCTCCTGACGTGCAAGCAAGTGATATGCAGGTGCCGTTAACGGTGACTAACTGTGGCCTGACAATAAAAGATTTGACCCATTTGGCAATATTTGAGTTTACACCCATATTATTAAAATTTTGCAGAAGTAATCGAGGCTGTGTGGTAATGAAAGCGGATGAAAAACTGCCGAACAATATTCTTACAATCAATATGCCGTTATCTAGATGGCTATAAAATTTATGCAGGACAGTCTGTGTTGCGTCCTTGACACCTCTGTTGGGTCTATAAATGCATACCGTATATGACCGCGGATAAGCCGAATTTTGAGGACCAGAAAAAATATTCTTTGGAGGGGTCGGCTTATCCATGGGATACAGCTGTTGCTGAGTCGACAAACAACAGTGCGGCTGCACGACAGTTTTATATTAACGAGAGGCAAGTTAGAAATTGGAGGAAAGAAAAGACGACACCAACATTTATTGGTACATTTACTCACGGGTTCATAATTCTATATACACCGATTCACAAAATGGCGCTACGTTGTTGATGGCAACAAAAAACGGTCATAATGAGATTAAAAAAAGACAAGAGAAACAGCTATCCACATTATGAAAGTGGATGACTGGTTTGTTAAATCTTTATTAGAAATAATAATGACTTTTTCAATATAATTATTTTTTTCATCTTATATTATTGAATATCTGCGAGTACCGGCACAGGTCTTGCAGTCCGACTTCGCCGTGTTTTTTGCCTTTCACTTCCTGGTTCGGCTTATCTGCGGGTCATAACATTTTCTTTCGTATTTCAATGGTCAAGTTAACACCTTGGCTTATCTACGGGGTCGGCTTATCCGCGGTCATATACGGTATTGCAAAGGACTGGACTTGGAAAATAACAATCTTTTGATAACATGTGCAAGGCATTTCATAGCTATTCAAGTTAAGGGTCGGTCGGGTAGCCCAGTGGTTAAAGTGTTTCCTCGTCACGCTGAAGACCCGGGTTCGATTCCCCACATGGGTACAATGTGTGAAGCCCATTTCTAGTGTCCCCCTGCTGTGATATTGCTGGAATATTGCTGAAAGCTCACTCACTGTTGCTGTTAAAGCCTCAAGGAGATAGTCATTGTATACAGTTGGGTGTTGCCTTTTAGGGTCAGGTACAATGGTAGAACCTTTCCATGAAAGATGTGATGGAAGTGTAATGAAGCTTGAAAGATTTTGAAATGTGACTCACAGCTGCTCACTGCATTCTTTTACCTTAGAAATTCTCCATGCCAAATCCCTTGTGTATGTTTAGTGAGCTAAAAGATCCAAGAGCATCATAATTAGAAATGGATAAGTTTATGATCCTGCTCAAAGGACTGAATCTTATTTTCAACTTTTGAGGAAAAGCCATAAGTATCAGCGAGTTCAAGTCATTGGCGAATGGTTGGTTATCCGTTGCCTGTACAGAAAGCTGATTCTTTTCATTGAGCAGGGACTTAAGCTCTTTTCATACTCAGGGCTTGTTGTTCGAATACACTTTGATTCATTTATCCGGCTACTCGAACAAAACATTTAGCAATCAGTGATTACATCAGCCAGTTCATCTAGGTCAGCACTTGATGCCTGTAACACTTCCTCTGTTGTACAATCAAAACACCCTTAACTGATCCAGCAAATCCGTTGTCCATGATCTGACAGATTTTACTCTAAAGCCTTTGTCTGTATGTTGGAATGAAACTGATCACATTATGATCCAATGTCCCAATGAGGGTTTTAATGAACAATTTGTAGGCATCCTTCACATTCCCGTGACATCTTGCAGGGCAGTCAACATACTGACAATAATTAGGAAGAACACTGTTCGACTTACAGAAAGTACAGTCTGTGAAAATGAACTTTGGCGCCTTTGTTGATAAACCTTCCAGTTTGTTGTTCTGATCATGAATGAAAGTAGATGCTCTTTCAGTATTAATCATGGATTTCTTTGAGTGGGGGTATGTTAACGACCATTATAAATAATTGTCCAAATTCACTGTGTCGAGACAATTATTTGTAACGGTTACAAAAATCTCTGGGTTAAGACCTGTGAAGATCCGCGGTAGAATAGGTCTTCAGCAACCCATGCTTGTCGTAAAAGGTGACTATGCTTGTCGTAATAGGCGACTAACGGGATCGTGTCGTCAGGCTCGTTGACTTGGTTGATGCATGTCATCAATCCCAATTGCATAGATCGATGCTCATGATATCAATCACTGGATTGTCTGGTCCAGACTCGATTATTTACAGACCACTGTCATATAGCTGGAATATTGCTGAGTGCGGTGTTAAACCAACCAACTCTGGGTTGATATTTTCGTCTCGATATCTTCTATGTAAACAGGTTACAATACTTGTGCACCACCTTTAATTTACTTAAATACAAATGCCACCTTTGATAAATTTTCCTGTGCCGCGATATAACTGTAGCGGTGTTAAACTCAACTCACTCACTCACTCTTCCTTCTTTTAACCATATGTTCTTCCCTGGAATATTCCAGTGATAAAACGCTGATGAATGAAAACCTCTTCAGTTGCAGCCACTCTGACTGTTCATAATTTCGCGCCAGTGACTGTTTATCCCGTATCTGCCGTTTTGGTTGCCGTTACTTGCTACGCTCAGACGAATTTGTTGCAATGATGAAAATTGAGGGATACACATTATTCCTCATCCCCATCTTGTTTCCAAGAGACAACTTTTCAATAAGAACTCATATAAATACTTGTTAACATGGAATTGTTGAGAGAGCCTAGTGATGCAAGATACAGGGTGTGCAGCCTGTCGGGATATTGCCTGCATGTTGCTAAAAGTGGAGTAAAACTCAACTGACTCACTCACTCAACATTACAAGAAAAGATGTGTACGATGTGACTGTTCTTCTTTCTGATGGGCGGTGGGGTAGCCTAGGGGTTAAAGTGTTCACTCGTCACGCTGAAGACCCGGTCCTCATTGTTGGTGGTAATGTTGCCCAGCCGATTGAATGTCACGCTAAAGGTCCAGTTCTATTCCCCACATGGGCACAATGTGTGAAACCCATTTCTGGTGTCCCCCTGTCGTGATATTGCTGGAATATTGCTAAAAGAAGTATAAAACTCACTCACTCACTCACTCACTCACTCACTCACTCACTCACTCACTCACTCACTCGCTCACTCGCCCACCATCCCACTCACTCACTCACTCACTCACTCACTCACTCACCCACCCACCCACCCACCCACCCACCCACTCACTCACTCACTCACTCACTCACCCACCCATCCACTCACTCACTCACTCACTCACCACCCACTCACTCACTCACTCACTCACTCACTCACTCACTCACTCACTCGCTCACTCGCCCACCATCCCACTCACTCACTCACTCACTCACTCACTCACCCACCCACCCACCCACCCACTCACTCACTCACTCACTCACTCACTCACCCACCCATCCACTCACTCACTCACTCACTCACCACCCACTCACTCACTCACTCACTCACTCACCACCCACCCACCCACCCACCCACTCACTCACTCACTCGCCCACCATCCCACTCACTCACTCACTCACTCACTCACTCACTCACTCTTCCTTCAGACTACTGCATGACCCCCGAGTGTGTGACGGTGGCCAGCTCCATCATCACCACGATGGACCGCAGTGCCGACCCCTGCAAGGACTTCTTCCAGTACGCCTGTGGAGGGTGGATCAAGTCACACCCCATCCCATCAGGCCACAGCAGGTGGGGCACGTTCAGTGTGCTGTGGCAGGAGAACCAGCTGGTCATGAAGAACGTCCTCGGTAAGTGCCGCCTTTTGTTCATGAACCCTTAAACAAATCGCAAACGATTCCCTAGCATTTGATTGGCTGACCAAGCAAGTATCTTTTGCATTTATGTTCCCCGAACCAAACAAAATTAGGCCACGCCCTCTTACTACAGTTTCCTGATTGGCTCATGATAGAATGGGCAGGGCGTGTGTTGCATTATTGCGCTGAATGTCGCTGATTTCGTATTGTTGTGCCCCTGTTTGTGTTACTGATTAATTAATCAGTCTGAAGCTATTATTGTTGACATATTTATTTATAATAAATGGCGTTTTGCGTTAATGGAGGTATACCGTATTCGATGTAATAAGGGCCCAGGGCGCTCTCAAAATTAGAAATAGGGGGCTCTTATTAGAATATTATTTTGGTGATATTAAAAACGAGGCTGAAAGATTGTAAATTTTGTGGTCAGCCTGAAATGATATAAAAGAAGAATCTGTGTGTATTATACACGATAGACATATTTTCGAGAATTTAATTGCCCATAATTAAGGGTGCATAAAAAACGAGTGTGTATTATACACGAATAAATAAGTCTTGTGTTCATTGAACAATTGGAAAGGGTGCTAATATATCAGCAAATAACGCTGTGGGCGCTTATTAGAGCGGGGCGCTTATTACGTCAAATACGGTAGTTGTGAAAACGGCATGCACACTTTGTGTAAGTCCACACTTAAGTCATTGAATAATCAGTCAGAGCTATTATTGTTGACATATTTATTTATAATAAATGACGTTTTGTGTTGAGGGAGGTATAGTTGTGAAAACAGCATGCACACTTTGTGTAAGTCCACAATTAAGTCATTGAATAATCAGTCAGAGCTATTATTGTTGACATATTTATTTATAATAAATGACGTTTTGTGTTGAGGGAGGTATAGTTGTGAAAACGGCATGCACACTTCACGTAAATCCACCATTGAGACAAGTCTTTTACGTTCTTGTAGAAAAAGTGTCGGTGAAGACGCGCAGCAATGCTGAGAGGAAGGCCCAGGCTTACTTTGTGTCGTGTATGGACAAGAACAAGACGGTGGAGGCGCTCGGCGCCCAGCCCCTCCTGGACATCTTGAGGGGCCTGGGGGGGTGGGGTATCTCCAACAAGTCGGGCACCTGGCAACAGAACGCCTGGAACCTGCAGACAGCCGTGGAGAAGGTGCACATGATCGATGTCAGCCCCCTGTTTAACATGTGGGTCGGCGGGAACGACCGCAACTCCTCCAGCAATATACTCTTGGTGAGTACACAATGACAGCATTAGAAATTGGCACTAGTCCTGTGGTCCTTGCCGCCAGTGATAATGATATATATTCACCAGCGGGGACAGTGTTCAAGCTCCCATGATGGGCTAGGCAGGGAATCAGGCATGATGAGTGGTCCTCACATGAAAGCTGGTTCTGATTTGATGAAATGCATGAGAGATACATAAACATGGTCTTGTCCCATTTTATCATGAGTCTAACCAGTTCCTGGAAAGTTCCACTTAGTGCACTCACAACATAGAACATTTTCCATGTTTCTATAACATACTATCACTGTCCGTGGTATACCGAACCGGATATTTACACACCGCACTAGCATCTAAATAGAGTACCCCCTGACAACTGATCACTGTCCATACACAATGCAATGAGCGTCTACCGAATCTCAACAGAAACAAAGAAACACAGTTACAATCATTGTTAAACAAATACACTGCCATTTAACACGATCATCTTAGTGATAAGATGGCTTTGTGGACGGGCAGTATCTCCATTGGCCCCTGCTTGTTGGTTGTGCTGACTTATGAATTAGTGTGTTGGGTTCAACACCACTTTGAATAGTATTTGAGTTATATGACCTAGTACCATCCAACTGTCGGGAGAATGCATGAAGTGATTCAGGTCTAAGATGTATACGAGTTTGGTGCAGTATAATCAAAATAAGGATTTGAACCCAGGATCTTTAGTTCCTGGCGGTCTAGGGGAAACAACTCTGTACATCAAACTGCCTGACTAATCAAGGGTTCAGTCGTGTGTGACCTGATTGAATATGTGTCTAGGTTCCCTGACTGCCTGGAATGGAATCAGTGGCATAAATATTTGCTTGATGCGTCGATAATTTGAATATTAATACATGACACTTTTTCTGGACAGCAATTCTTTTATTCAATGTCACAAGTTACAGAGCTATTTCTTGGACGTTCATCATCTTTCACCTGATGAAGGAGCAAAAGTAGCTCTGTAACGTCATGACATTGAATTAACGAAGTTGCTGTCCATAATAAGTGCCATGTATTCCAACATCTAAATGGACCAGTGAAGATCCGGGGTAGAATTGGTCTTCAGTAACCCATGCTTGCCGTAAAAGGCGAATATGCTTGTTGTAAGAGGCGACTAACAGGATTGGGTGGTCAGGCTCGCTGACTTGGTTGATGCATGTCATTGATCCCAATGGCATGGATCGATGCTCATGATATCAATCACTGGATTGTCTGGTCCAGACTTGATTATTTACAGACCGCCGTCATATAGCTGGAATATTGCTGAGTGCGATGTAAAACACACAGACCAAACCAAAACCAACATCTAAATGACTTCTTTGAATATTGCTGACTGTGGCATAAATATCATTCACTCGTTAACTTTTTGAAGTAAATTTATAAAAATAGTTATTTTTGTGCTTGACTAATAGAATGTAATAGAATGTTCCAACTGAAGCCAAACTTTTTCAGTTTAGAGATGTAAGTAACGTGAGCTGGGCCCCGTTCCACAAAGCGATTCTGGATTGTCGTCCAATACTCACTCACTCACTCCTGTTTACCGGAAATTACCAGTATTTTACCGGTAAAATGAGCCTTGGACTTGTAATTCATGTGACTGCCAGTCCCTGTGGACCGGCAAATAAAATACCTTATAAATCTTTGTTGATGAACAAAACATCAGCGATATTCATATAAGTATATTTTTCTAATGAAGACAGCCTGTCTGTTACCATCAGGGTTTCCCCTTATCTATTTTTAGTGCAAGGAAATAACAGTTTGCTTTGCTTCGAGGTTAAATATAAACTTGAAATGACCTTGTCTTAGAATATTAAAAGAAAAGAGAAAAATGTGTCAGAACTTTGTGTAAGTCACTTCAGATTGCATTGTACATGATGTTGAAAGAATTAAAAGCAGGAAATTTCCATATGTTTTTTCGTTTGTTTATAGTTTGGACTGACAAAAACTAATGGGATTGGTAATTTTTAGAGTTGCCAGTCCTGATTTCCAAAAGTCAGCTTAGGCTTTTACTAAAATGGATACTGTCAATCCAGAAATTAATGTGTCTCTAAATTAATGCGACTACTACTCTGAGGGTTAGTGAAATAAGGTACCGTTTTCGACATAATAAGCGCGAAGGGCGCTCTCAAAATTAGAAATCGGGGGCTCTTATTGGAATATTATTTTAGTAAAAAAAATTGAGTTGAAAGATAAATTTCGTGGTTTATGCTGACAGCCTGAAATGTTTATGGACGACAGATATATTTTTCCAGAATTCAATTGCCCCTTATTAAGGGTGCATATAACACATGAGTGCGTATTATACGCGAATAAATAAGGCATGTGTACATTGATCAGTCGGAAGGGGTGCTAGTTGGGATTGTTCACTGGCCAATATATTAGCAAATGTTGCCGTGGGCGCTTATTAGAGCGGGGCGCTTATTACGTCGAATACGGTATAGACTATCCCCCTGGAATAGTCTTAAAAAAACTCATTTCTAAGGCTGTAGCATGTGTTTTGCCAGTAACAACTGAAACCAAATGACATGAGTGAGTTTGTTTTACGCCGCTTTCAGCAATATTCCAGCAATGTCACGGCGGGGGACACCAGAAATGGCCTTCACACATTGTACCCATGTCGGGAAATCAAAAGTGGGTCTTCGGTGTGACGAGCGAACGCTTTAACCACTAGGCTACCCCACTGCCCCCAAATGTGATGCAGTCAGGAATAACCACAGTGTACTCATTTGAAGTGGAATTCCTAAAATAATCATCATGAATAACAGAATATTGGAAGATTAAGAAAACTGTCAAGTCGGACGTTGTTCAAAAACTATCACATCGTCTGTCATGCAGCTGACATTTCACCAGACCAGGCGGCCATCTTGATAAACCATCGCTTTCATCTTGTATGAGGCACAAAAAGGATTAGTCGACATTATCTGTCTGTTTGATCTGTTCGTCATGTAATTAGGAAACCGTGGTTCGTATTTCAATCTGCTTTAGTAATACCCTTAGTTGAACTTTTATGATAACATTGGAAGGACGATGCTCACCAGACTTGGCCAACTGAATTTGGTTCTATATCCCCTCTTTATGTAGTTAGCCCTGAAAACGATGTCCAATGTTAAAGTTACACAACTGATCCTGTTTTCCGATATTCCAGCAATCACAGATGACTTTTTCATTAACTTATGACATGATACTCGACTTCCTTATTGCAATTGTAGGTACATTTCAGTGCAGATTGCTACACAGTGATCAAGCAGGACTTGCGTATTTACAATATTGTTAAGCTTGTTGACGTCGCTGATTTCGCCCACCTGCGTCATTTGGGGCTTTCCTCGTCAATTAATTGTCTGGGGAAACGGTGGCTAAGTCTTTTAAGGCCCCATATTCATGGTGAAGAGTTTCGTGTCTTAGGCATGCCAGAAGTCTGTGATCATGGCACATGCCTGTGTTTGTGGATCTTACACAGCGTTTATTGAAATATTGATCAAAGCAGTGTTAAACCCAAACTCACTCACTCATTAATGAGCTGACATGCCATGATACAACTGAAATTCTTTTCAAAGCAGTGTTAAACCCCAACTCACTCACTCATTCATTAATGAGCAGAGGTGCTATGCTATAACTGAAATACTGTTCAAAGCCGTGTTAAACCCCAACTCACTCACTCACTCATTAATGAACTGCCATAATATAACTGAAATACTGTTCAAAGCAGCGTTAAACCCAAACTCACTCACTCGCCCATTAATGAACTGCCATGCTATAACTGAAATACTGTTCAAAGCAGTTTTAAACCCAAACTCACTCACTCACTCATTACCGAGCTGACGTGCCATGATATTAACTTAATCACTCACTCACTCACTCATTGATAAGCATACTTAATGTGATATAAGTGAAATACTGTTCAAAGCAATATTAGTGAGGTGACATGACATGATTGAATACTGTCGACATCAGTGTATAGCCCAATTCACTCTCTCACTCATTTCTCTATATACTTACAGCTCCTTGTTAGAACCATACACTTACACCTTCCCTGGTTCATCCAAACATTATGAAAATCGATTCCAATAAGCAGTATATTTTCAGCCCATACAATGCTTCCTTGTTGAGTGAGTGAGTGAGTGAGTGAGTATGGTTTACTCTGCTTTTAGCAATATTCCATCAATATCACGGAGGGGGACACCAGAAATGGGCTTCACACATTGTACCCATGTTGGGAATCGAACCTGGGTCTTCGGCATGACGAGCTAACGCTTTAACCACTAGGCTACCCGACCGCCTTCCTCGGCCGAGTCTGGGACGCCATCCTGGGAGCACTGCTAGTGTAAATGAACCCTCATGAAAAAGTTTGTGTTAATCAATTTTCTGTTGCAGGTTGACCAAAGCGGCCTAGGCCTACCTGAGCGGGACTACTATCTCAATAAGTCCATTACTGAAGACAAGGTACGTTATCTAGGTATGATCCTTAAACATTGGAGACGGAATTGGGATTTTTGTTTGAGACAGAGTATGTTTCAGTCAGAGCTCCATAACATACCAAAAAGTTCTTTTCCTCTTTCTACCTCTCAAAAAGTTGGGGACCCGTGAAGATTCCGGGGTAGAAGAGGTCTTCAGCAACCCATGCTTGCCGTAAAAGGTGACTATGCTTGTCGTAAAAGGCGACTAACGGGATCGGGTGGTAAGGCTTGCTGACTTGGTTGATGCATGTCATCGATCCAAATTGCGTGGATCGATGCTCATGATATTAATCACTGGATTGTCTGGTCCAGACTCGATTATTTACAGACCGCCGTCATATAGCTGTAATATTGCCGAGTGCGGCGTTAAACAACAAACCAACCAACCAACCAACTAACTCAAAAAGTTTAGTTTTTTTTGTAATTGATATTTTATTTCTGAGCCCCTGTTACAGATAGGGTAGTGCCTAGTCTCTCAAAAAGTTGGAGCCTGACCATTTTTTCAATTTTTTTAACCCACAATGCAGTATGTCCACTTTTTGTTGCTAAAATCATTTTTTGCCATCAATTTCATGAACAAATTATTTTAATAAAAAATATTTTAAAACGTTTCCCAGGCCCGTCATATCGAATCGTCACCCCATTATCATCACCTTAACGGCATGTGGCAAAAAGCACTGCTGTGTTTCAAAGGCGTATTGATTTTGGGATGTGTTTCGCGTTTATCGGGACAGTGTAAATATGGTCCTGATATAGACTATACAAAGAGCCGATGATGTTTGAAGGTGTCTCAGGACCTTGTAATGAGACCATTAAGGATTTTTAACAGAGGTTCTTGAAGACTGCCATTTAAACTTTCCCACGTCATTGATTAGCTGCTACAGATCCATGTAAGGAAATTGTTACCGTATTCGACGTAATAAGCGCCTAGGGCGCTATCAAAATTAGAAATAGGGGGCTCTTATTTGAATATTATTTTAGTGAAAAACAGTTGAAAGATCAATTTCGTGGTTTATGCTGACAGCCTGAAATGTTTATGTACGACAGATATATTTTCCAGAATTTAATTGCCCATGATTAAGGGTGCATATAACACACGAGTGCGTATTATACGCGAAAAATAAGTCTTGTGTACATTGATCAATCGGCAGGGGTGCCAATTGGGATTGTTCACTAGCCAATATATTAGCAAATGTCACCGTGGGTGCTTATTAGAGCAGGGCACTTATTACGTCGAATACAGTATTAAAATAGGTACCAGGGGTATGGGGATCGGCTGTATTGATTGATTGCATCACTTATCTATATTCCCCCAGAGGAACTGACATTGAAGATGGAATTAACACTGATAATCATGGCAGGAGCTTTGAGCAGAGCACCCCGAGCCATCATTTTGTGATACAATATTTGGCATGTTAGACTGTTATTATATACTTAAATAGACAGAATAGGTCACCAGTAACACCTTTAAGGGATTCTGAGTAAGAATATAGGTTTCCAGGGACCTTTGCTTGTCTCCCTGTGGGGATTCCGGTTAAGAATATAGGTCCCCAGCAACCTATGCTTGTCTCCCCAGGGGGATTTCAGGTAAGAAAAGGTCCTCAGTCGTGGGATTCAGTCGTAGGGATAGGCATTTCGGTAAGCCTGTTCCAACCCCTTGATTCAATCCCATGGTTCTTGCAATTGCAAATTTGCCAATTTGATTGGTTAAGCTACTAGGTCCAATTTACCAATCAGAATGTGTTACGACAGTGTTGGGTTGGACAGTCTCACTGATCATGATCGAGTTCGCGAGAAATTCAACATTGAAAACTGACTGACACGCAGAAGAAAGCCCTAAAAAATATTTTTGATGGAAAGGGTGTCTTCATGTCTGTTAGAACTGGCGGTGGCTTTGGTTTCTAGGTAAAACAATTTACCTCCCTTACCCTTTCCCTTATGTCGACGTTTGATTGGTCGGTAAACTGTTAATGAAATCAAGGGCAGGTAATTTGTGATCGCAAGAACCCATGGGAATGGATCCAGGGATGTTGGGGGTTTGTGTACCTTGGGAGTGAGTGAGTGAGTGAGTGAGTAAGTATGGTTTTACGCCCCTTTTAGCAATATTCCAGCAATATCACGGTGGGGGACACCAGAAATGGGCTTCACACATTGTACCCATGTCGGGAATCGAACCTGGGTCTTCGGCGTGAAGAGCGAACGCTTTAACCACTAGGCTACCCGACCGCCCCTTGTGTGCCTTGGGTGATGGTGTGTCATCGTACCCAACAGCGTTGATCATTGCTCTTAGGATTGCCTAGTTGTTTCTTATTTAATAGCTGGAATATTGCTAAGTGCTGCATACAATAACAAGAAACAGCCACATAGTATGAACTGGCTTTTTGTGTGTTATCATGACCCAACTGTTGGCTTGCGTGCTCAAGACGTGACTTTTCTAGGCAGCCTTCATTCTGCACTGTTGCAAAGATGGTAACTGCGGGTTTAAACGTTTACCCGAATGTGTGATAATCTAAAAACATCTAGTCCCCTACTGAGCTTATTTCGAAAAGCCCAATTTCCAATTATGTACTTTCAATTTTGTACAATAAATTGATAATGTTTCCCATCGATGTAGGTGAAAAAACATGGAATAATCAATAATCTTTATCAGATTAGCATTGTGCTGAAGTTTTTTGTGTCGTAGATTGGACGAAGATTCAAACTTTTTGACTTGATTTTCTCTGTTTTTAACCTTTATTCACTGAAGACCAGACTTAGCAGCACACGAACAGCTTATTGATGTAGTTGTTGCTCACGTTGTAGGTGTTGTCAGGGTATCTGGAGTACATGACGACGTTGGGGATGTTGCTTGGAGCTGAGGATCGCAACACTACCAGGGATGACATGATAAAAGTTATAGAGTTTGAGACAAAAATAGCTGAGGTAGGCTTATATTTTATTCAGGTTTCTCATATATATCTCCTTCATTTGGACGTGACCCTTGAAGATCCGGGTAGAGAAAAGGTCTTCAGCAACCCATGCTTGTCATAAGAGGCGACTATGATTGTCGTTAGAGGTGACTCAGTTACAGACCGCCTTCATAGAGAAGGAATATTGCCGAGTGTGGCATCAAACAATAAAAAAATCGAACAAATCATTTGGACAGAAGTTGGGACAGCTTGGTGCCTTGTGGTCTAGGGCACCACAGTTGATAAACAGTTGCACATTCGCATTCATACACCAAAATCATCCAAGCTACACACACGAACACACACACACACCAAAATCATCCAAGCCACACGCACGCACGCACAAACACACACACACACACACACACACACACACACACACACACACACACAAAATCAAAGAACAATGTATAGTTTGTATCAAAACGTGACAATTCCTGAAAGACACAGGTTTTTGAACATCATTTTTCTTGTATTTCAATGCCTGGCTCTCAGCCTTACAGGATAAAACAATACTGTGTCTGAGCAGGAAATTCATGTTAAACTGTGGCATGGTATCTCAGTGAGCTCGCACTAAAAGGCCAGGTTCTATTGGGAACAATTAGGTTCCTTGTGTATGCTTTGCTATGGTATGGTAAGCCTAATGCTTACCTCACTTGGGCTGTTACATATGCTTGAAGCTGTTTCCAGATCACCATCCCAGCGAAAGACAGACGCGATGAGGAGAAGAACTACCACAAGATGCGGATAGTCGACATGCAGAAACAGTTCCCCTTTGTGAGTAACGGGTAGTCGACATGCAGAAACTGTTCCTCTTTGTAACCGATAGTCGACATGCAGAAACTGTTCACCTTTTTAACCGATAGTCGACATGCAGAAACTGTTCCCCTTTGTAACCAATAGTCGACATGCAGAAACTGTTCCCCTTTGTAACCGATAGTCGACATGCAGAAACTGTTCCCCTTTGTAACCGATAGTCGACGTGCAGAAACTGTTCCCCTTTGTAACCAATAGTCGACATGCAGAAACTGTTCCCCTTTGTGAGTAACGGATAGTTGACATGCAGAAAATGTTCCCCTTTGTAACCGATAGTTGACATGCAGAAACTGTTCCCCTTTGTAACCGATAGTCGACATGCAGAAACTGTTCCCCTTTGTAACGGATAGTCAACATGCAGAAACTGTTCCCCTTTGTAACCGATAGTCGACTTGCAGAAACTATTCCCCTTTGTAACCGATAGTCGACGTGCAGAAACAGTTCCCCTTTGTAACCAATAGTCGACATGCAGAAACTGTTCCCCTTTGTGAGTAACGGATAGTTGACATGCAGAAAATGTTCCCCTTTGTAACGGATAGTCAACATGCAGAAACTGTTCCCCTTTGTAACCGATAGTCGACTTGCAGAAACTATTCCCCTTTGTAACCGATAGTCGACGTGCAGAAACAGTTCCCCTTTGTAACCAATAGTCGACATGCAGAAACTGTTCCCCTTTGTGAGTAACGGATAGTTGACATGCAGAAACTGTTCCCCTTTGTAACCGATAGTCGACATGCAGAAACTGTTCCCCTTTGTAACCGATAGTCGACTTGCAGAAACTGTTCCCCTTTGTGAGTAACGGATAGTCGACATGCAGAAACTGTTCCCCTTTGTAACCGATAGTCGACATGCAGAAACTGTTCCCCTTTGTAACCAATAGTCGACATGCAGAAACTGTTCCCCTTTGGCATTAAACAATATTCACTGACTGCTGTTGGTTTGCAGCTGAACTGGCTCCAATACTTCAACTCCATGATGAGCGTTGTCAACATCACACTCAAGTCCTCGGAGGAAGTTGTCGTCTATGCCCCCAAGTTCCTGAAGAACCTCAAGGCCATCCTCAGTAATGCCAAGTCCTCCGACGATGGCAAGAAGTGAGATCATTGCTTACTGAAACTGGGAAACCTCCTCAGTCCAGACCCTGTTAATCCAGAAACTCTGCTTTCCATATTGTTATTGTTGAGAACTTCTATTTATCCTTGAAGCATCTTCCTGAGGCAAGGGAGTTAACTGACTGTATAAGTCCAATTGCCACCCTTGCCAAACTAGGCGGGAATTATCGAGTTATATTTTGTCCTGACTAACGCGTCTATGCATAGTCCAATCAAATTTCAGTATCGAAATTAACATCTGGTTCATAAGCAACATGGATTTCCACATGCAGATTTCGGTTAATTGCAGGATTTGCTAATACAGACTCACAAATCAGAACTTATAGAAAGTTCAAAAGCCCAATTCCATGGTATTGTTTTGATAACTCCATAACTTCTCTCATATATGGACAGACAGATTAGTTGGACTTAAAGTAACAGTCTGATGATTTGTTCTTTTGAATTTGTGGGGGATCATCTTCTGAAGACTCTTGTTTTCCATGACAACAAATTCAACTTTACTGAAAATGATGGTAGTGCTCGTTTCCGGAGCAGAAGTCCCAAACTGTTAAATATTTTGCGATGAAACTTGTTATACAGAGCAGTCCAGTGGTGAACTAGTGCCTTTTGGTGATTTGGGATTTTGAAATATCCAGCATTACTTTTTTCTTCACTGAACTGGAGGTATCCAGTGGGACTGAACCAAAAGAAGGCTTTCAGTAGCCAGACTGTATTTCCGAAATGTACCTGACCAGGGGGATATCTCATCTCCTGGCGACTCTTGTTCACTCACTCGTTCATGTTGTTGCAGCACATTAAACAACTACCTGATGTGGTCTGTCGTCAAGTCTCTGGCGCCATACCTGTCCAAGCCATTCCGAGAAGCCAAGAAGACTTTCACACAGGTTATGACAGGTAACATTCAAATCAACCTTTTCCTTTGTCAGCCATTATATGTGGTGGAGTTGGATGCTGTTGTGGAGTGTTAAATGTGGATGCTGTTGTAGGGTATTAAAGGTGGATGCTGTTGTGGAGTGTTAAAGGTGGATGCTGTTGTGGAGTGTTAAAGGTGGATGCTGTTGTTGAGTGTTAAAGATGGATGCTGTTGTGGAGTGTTAAAGGTGGATGCTGTTGTGGAGTGTTAAAGGTGGATGCTGTTGTGGAGTGTTAAAGGAGGATGCTGTTGTGGGGTGTTAAAGGTGGATGCTCTTGTAGAGTGTTAAAGGTGGATGCTGTTGTAGAGCATTTAAAGGTGGATGCTGTTGTAGAGTGTTAAAGGTGGATGCTGTTGTAGAGTATTAAAGGTGGATGCTGTTGTTGAGTGTTAAAGATGGATGCTGTTGTAGAGTGTTAAAGGTGGATGCTGTTGTAGAGTATTAAAGGTGGATGCTGTTGTTGAGTGTTAAAGGTGGATGCTGTTGTTGAGTGTTAAAGGTGGATGCTGTTGTAGGGTATTAAAGGTGGATGCTGTTGTTGAGTGTTAAAGGTGGATTCTGTTGTTGAGTGTTAAAGGTGGATGCTGTTGTTGAGTATTAAAGGTGGATGCTGTTGTTGAGTGTTAAAGGTGGATGCTGTTGTGGAGTGTTAAAGGTGGATGCTGTTGTAGGGTGTTAAAGGTGGATGCTGTTGTGGAGTGTTAAAGGTGGATGCTGTTGTGGAGTGTTAAAGGTGGATGCTGTTGTAGAGTGTTAAAGGTGGATGCTGTTGTAGAGTGTTAAAGGTGGATGCTGTTGTTGAGTGTTAAAGGTGGATGCTGTTGTGGAGTGTTAAAGGTGGATGCTGTTGTGGAGTGTTAAAGGTGGATGCTGTTGTAGAGTGTTAAAGGTGGATGCTGTTGTAGAGTGTTAAAGGTGGATGCTGTTGTAGGGTGTTAAAGGTGGATGCTGTTGTAGAGTGTTTAAGGTGGATGCTGTTGTGGAGTGTTAAAGGTGGATGCTGTTGTAGAGTGTTAAAGGTGGATTCTGTTGTAGAGTGTTAAAGGTGGATGCTGTTGTAGAGTGTTAAAGGTGGATGCTGTTGTAGAGTGTTAAAGGTGGATGCTGTTGTAGAGTGTTAAAGGTGGATGCTGTTGTAGAGTATTAAAGGTGGATGCTGTTGTAGAGTGTTAAAGGTGGATGCTGTTGTGGAGTGTTAAAGGTGGATGCTGTTGTGGAGTGTTAAAGGTGGATGCTGTTGTAGAGTGTTAAAGGTGGATGCTGTTGTGGAGTATTAAAGGTGGATGCTGTTGTAGAGTGTTAAAGGTGGATGCTGTTGTAGAGTGTTAAAGGTGGATGCTGTTGTAGGGTATTTAAGGTGGATGCTGTTGTAGAGTGTTAAAGGTGGATGCTGTTGTAGAGTGTTAAAGGTGGATTCTGTTGTAGAGTGTTAAAGGTGGATGCTGTTGTAGGGTATTAAAGGTGGATGTTGTAGGATATTAAAGGTGGATGCCGTTGTAGAGTATTAAAGGTGGATACTGTTATAGGGTATTAAAGGTGGATAGTGATGGGTCCAGGACGGCAAGCAAGTCAGTGTCGAGTGACTCTGGGTTTGTCGTTTCAGGTGTGACAGGTAACGAGGAGATGTGGCGCTACTGCATCACCGACACCGATGTTGTCCTCGGCTTTGCTCTCGGGTCGATGTTCGTGAAGGAGGCTTTCCACGGGGCTAGCAAAGTAAAGGCGAGTTCTATCACTAGCATCATTCATACATGTGATATTGGGGATGGAAAATATCCCATTTACTTTCAGAAAGACTGTTAAAAGCTATTTCACAACATACCATGAACAATATGAACAAACTTTCAGCTACTATGGGGAAAAAGTGCAGTTAGAAAACAACACTTTGGTCATTTGTTTCCTGTTAACACAGCATCCTGTTGTTGTCTTAATTCAGGTAAGTAAATTTGGTTGATGATGATCATATTTTGAGACAATATTACTTGCCATGTAGAAAGGGTACTTAACAACGCTCTGATGTCTTAACTGTACAGCCTGGACCAGTCAGTATATGATGCATCTCGAGGCATTGCAGGATCCTGTGAACAGTGGTTCAAATCCCAGATTCAACCCATTATGATCCTTGGTTTGCCTTTGTCCTGCTTTCCTTAGGGCTATTCTCCTCCATTAAGCTGTCATGCTGTGATTTAACTGAAATACTGTTCAAAGCGGTGTTAAACCAAACTCACTCACTAGTAAACTTAGCATAAAACCAAACTCACTCACAAGTAAACTTAGCATAAAACCAAACTCACTCACAAGTAAACTTAGCATAAAACCAAATTCACTCACTAGAAAACCTAGCATAAAACCAAACTCACTCACTAGTAAACGTAGCATAAAAACAAACTAACTCACTCACTAGTAAACTTAGCATAAAACCAAACTAACTCACACACTAGTAAACTTAGCATAAAACCAAACTCACTCACTAGTAAACCTAGCATTAAACCAAACTCTATCACACATTACTTATACTAGCATAGAGTGAGTGAGTGAGTTTGGTTTTACACCACTTTTGGCAATATTCCAGCAAAATCACGGCGGGGGACACCAGAAATGGGCTTCACACATTGTACCCATATTGGGAATCGAACCCGGGTCCTCAGCGTGGCGAGCGAATGCTTAAACCACTAGGCTACCCGACTGTCCATGAGCACAGAACCACTCACTCATTACTAAAACTAGCATAAAACCACTCACTCATTACTGTGCAGAGTTGCGTCCCTTGGGCACGCCAGAAACCTATGATTGTGGGTTCGAATACCGGTTTGCCCCGATTATGTTTCTAGGTTTGTCAGCACCATACCCATGCTCGTGGGTTTCACTCACTGGCTCGCTCGCTCGCTCACTCACTCACTCACTCACTCACTCACTCACTCACTCACTCACTCACTCACTCACTCACTCACTCACTCACTCAGTTAAACCAGACTCACCCTCATTGGCCCACACCCTTGCTTTACAGATCTTTTACAGGAAATAAACTGTCGATGAGGGATATGGAAGGGGGGAAGCAATTCAACTTCTTTTTTTAGTTTTCTGCTCCATTAAAGGTCGGCTGGTAGGAAAAATAAAAGTAGTTTAATGTCGGAGGAGAGGCTGCAACATAGCTGTTGCTTTAAGCAATACAAACCTCAAGCGGGAACACTGTTGTGCATCTATGCATCCTATCAATGTCACGAGCGAGAAAAAAAATTATTTTGACTCTCATGTTTAGTATATGTCAACTTCAGTCAGTCCTTGTTTTGAAAACATTTTTTGGGTGCAATATGCTATCAGCTTATCGGCAGGATAAAAAAAAAAGGACAGATTCAGAAAAAAATAATTCCATTTCAACAAAAATTTACAGTTAGCGGTCTGTAAAGCAAGTAGAAAGTATGGCCTTACTAACACAATTGTAAAACCAAACCGACTCACTCACCATTGAGTTTGTGCTTCCATCATTGTCATTTATTAAGTTTCTATAAAAAGCATAATTGATTAATAGAATAGTTCGTTTCACTTAAATTTGATTAGCAATTAATTTGGGGTGCTCGTTCATGCATGTTGGATAGATAAGCCAGATTGAAAGAGGGACGTTGTACAGTTCATTGGAGGGGATTCCCCTGAATCTGATGGGGATTCCCCTGAAATTGGCCAGTCAGAAGAGGTAGTGGATATATCACATGTATGATAAGATTTTAGAATGTGAAAGATAAAAGTAAAGTCATTATTTGTTATCTCGTTATCTCTTTGTCATTAAGTAGATATGAAATAAAGATGTAGTTTATGTTTTTAGTGTAATTTGTAGTTAGAAGGAAGTGACAAGTGTTATTATGGTGATTGGTATAAAACCCTTTGTTGTTTCAGGCGGAGAAGATGATTGATGAGGTTAAGATGGCTTTCAAGAAAAACTTGCCCAATTTGCATTGGATGGATGACGAGACGCGCAGAGCAGCTATTGACAAGGTACATCACTGAGAGGTCCGGATGCAGCTGTGTTTTCCTCAGATTTAGCTTTTTGCAAGAGAGTATAGAGTATTTTTTGACAATTATGCATTATCTTGAACCAACATTTCAATTCAGGCCTCAAAGTTGCGACTAAAACAGTCCCCAATGCGACCTAAATGACTACCTTGAAAATATCTTGTGGCAACTAATTTCTATTGCTACACATATGTGGACACAAAAATAAATAACAGCTGATCTTGGAAAACTTGTCTGCTAATAATTGTACTCGCAAATAATTCCTCCTAAAGTTGACAATGAACAGAACTAGTACTTTATTTTAGTTGACAATGCTCAATGGATAAGCAAGGATATACCTATATAATCTAGTAACATAAATTGTATCATTGTTCAAGTCACAAGTAACAAAAATCAAGTACAGTTTCCATTAAGATACAATTTCCAAGACTAGAGCAATGGCTTGTACATATTATAATAGTTAATTGATAAAAGATAATTTCAAATGCTTTTGACTACCTATAATTTTGGCTTGACTTCTTGATTTTACCACTGGCTACCTTGGAGTTTTTCCACTTTTATAAATGAGTGATGATATATTTGATATATTTAATATCAAAAGACACTCGGGTGAGAATCTCTATATAAACAGTCCACAAAGAGTAAGACAAACGTAAGTAGATACCGTATTCGACGTAATAAGTGCCCAGGGCGCTCTCAAAATTAGAATATTATTTTGGTGAAAAAAAGTTGAGTTGAAAGATAAATTTTGTGGTGTATGCTGACAGCCTGAAATGTTTATGTACGACAGATATATTTTTCCCGAATTTAATTGCCCATAATTAAGTGTGCATATAACGAGTGCTTATTATACGCGAATAAATAAGTCTTGTGTACATTAATCAAATGGAAGGGGTGCTAATTGGGATTGTTCACTAGCCAATATATTAGCAAATATTGCCGTGGGCGTTTATTAGAGCGGGGCACTTATTACGTCGAATACGGTAACTAAATCTCCAAAAAATGTTGAAAGTATTTTCAACTTGGCTCTAGTGATAGGTTGTTTTTTTACAATTGCTTCAGACAAAGAGACCCTGAGTATTAATGATGTACATGTATGGCGTATATTCATATCTTGTGATATTTTCCAGGCAAATGCAGTTGTGGATATGATTGGCTTCCCGGAGTATATCCTAAATGTCACCCGCCTCGATAAACAGTACCAGAGGGTAAGAGGAAGATTTTACTGGTGCTTCACACACTCAGCAATATTACAGCTATATGACGGCAGTCTGTAAATAATCGAGTCTGGACCACACAATCCAGTGATTGACATCATGAGCATTGATCCATGCAATTGGGATACGATGACATGCATCAACCAAGTCAGCGAGCCTGACCACCCGATCCCGTTAGGCACCTCCTACGACAAGCATAGTCGCCTGTTATGGCAAGCATGGGTTCCTGAAGACCTATTCTACCCCTGATCTTCGAGGGTGGAGTGAGTGTTGGGTTAATGTTTCTTTCAACAGTATTTCAGTTATGTCATGAAACATTGATGTGGGAAAAGAATTCCATGTTTAAGGCATGTCCTAAGTTTTTACCAATTTGGTGAAGCTATTTCCTATACGAGGGATTTCCTGGCAGAAAAGGTTCCCATACCCCATACTCGTTGTAAGGGAGAGGTGGGCTAGCTTAGTGGTTCAGGCATTCACTGGTCTCGGCTGAGAACCTGGGTTCATGTCCCACATGAGTGAGTGAGTGAGTGAGTGAGTGAGTGAGTATGGTTTTACACCGCTTTTAGCAATATTCCAGCACTATCACGGCGGGGGACACCTGCAATGGGCTTCACACATTGTACCCATGTCGGGAATCAAACTGGGTCTTCGGCGTGACAAGCTAACGCTTTAACCACTAGGCTACCCGACCACCCCCTCACCCACATGAGTACAATACGTGAAGTCTTTGTGATTCCGCTGGAATATTGCTTGAACGTAGAGCGACATGAAATCCCGCTGACTGACACTGTCAAATTGCACTGGTTCCTCTGCAGGTTTTCTACTGTCAAGTGCGTGAAGACTTTGCCAGTCCTTTTTGTTCCCCTCCATTAGTTCCTGACAAGTTCAGCCTTCACTTTTGTTGTGGAATTCAGATTTTAAATCTTGACCTAGGCCCTATCCCACAAAGCGATATTTGTGCTATGTTGATCGTAAGCCTAAGATAAAGTATGGGAGTTACGACTAACTTAGCGCTATGATCGCTATGCGGAACAGGTTCTAGAACTGCTTGGTAATATTTAACGTTATTGTGTTTTTCTGTTTTCAGTTACAAATCAACAAGTCAGAGTATTTTATGAACAACTTCAGAAATCTACGATTTGCTCTTGTGAAGAACTTAGAAAAACTCAGGAAACCTCCAAAGAAAAATGCGTAAGATTCACCTCTTCCTCGATTGTCCGAGTATCATATCTCTACCATTTCAGAAGTGCCGTCACCAACCCCACCACTCCCGTCTCTAACTTTGCACAGATCCTCTCTCACTCATATCGACCGCCTCCGTGGTCTAGTGGTAGAGCGTCCGCCCAGAGAGTGGAAGGTCCGGGGTTCCATCCCCGGCTGTGTTATACCAAAAGCTGTTAAAAGATGGTACTTGTTGTTACCCTGTCTGGCGCTTGGAATTAAGGGGCTAAAACAAGGACTGGTCGGCTCGGAGTCAGTATACTGTGTCTGAGTGGGGTATTCATGTTAAACTGCGGCATGGTATCTCAGTGGGATAGCACTCTAAATCGGCATCAGTCCGGACTAGTACAAGCAGCCACACAAACACATACATGTATATGCACGTCGCTATATAAGTGCAATATTCTTGGACGTGACGTTAAACCCCATTTCACCTAACCTCTCACTCATATCATCACAGGAATCTTGCTACACAATAAAAATGTAGTGAATACGTAATATATTAACCTATGGATTGTATTACATTTGAATGTTTAATCCTCATGTTGTTGAGATATCTAAAATGTTAAGTACTATTACATTGTATATATGACACTTAATATGGATTCCACTGCAACAGTTATGGCCAATGCGTAGCCATTCTTCCTCAAAGTATAATGTAATGCTCTTAAATTCTCTAAAAAAATATATTTTGGCTCAGTAAGCACGTATAGTTCTCCTTAGGATGACAGTATATTTATCCCCCGCCACGAAGTAGGGCAGGGGTTCTTGGAACGAAGTTCGTCCGTCTGTCCGCTTCTCAATGGGGACAAATTTTCTCAAAAACTATTCAAGTTAGAGGAATTAAATTTTGCACACTGATGTTACTGGTCACGATCTCAAATGAGTTCGAAAACTGGTGTCGCACATTCATGTTTTACAGAGTTATGGCCCTTGCTCTGTGCTTTTCAAGTTAGTGTGTGCAATAGGGACAAGTTATCTCAGAAGCTACTGAAGTTGCATGAATGAAAGTCGGCATTCTTATATAAGACACACTGTCAAGACTGAGTTCGACAACTGTTCCTGCCAGTTATGTTTTTACAGAGTTATGGCCCTTGCTCCATACTTAATAGTTTAGCAGGGGCCTTTTGTATGTAATCGTTTCACATTGAATCAGATTTTCTCAAAACACCCAACTGCCTATCTCTGCTAAAGGCATTTTAAGACTCTTATTTTAATAGTTAATATTAACTTGCCCCATGGTGGTTGATAGTGATAAGGGGCGGTCGGGTAGCCTAGTGGTTAAAGCGCTCGCTCGTCACCCCGAAGACCCGGGTTCGATTCCTGACATGGGTACAATGTGTGAAGCCCATTTCTGGTGTCTCATGCCGTGATATTGCTGGAATATTGCTAAAAGCGGCGTAAAACCAAACTCACTCATTCACTCAATTGATAGTGATAACACTGTTTTCTTGTTATTAAATCATTTGGATTTTAGTGTTTTTATAAAACAATCATGAAACTTGTATGGCATTAGAAAAATTATTCTCCTTAGAAGAATATTATGGCACTGAGTATAAAGTTTGTGTATAGCAGTTGTGTATTGCAACAATATTCAACAATAGTTTGACTATGTTTGTCGTAAGAGGCGACTAACGGGATCGGGTGGTCAGGCACGCTGACTTGGTTGATGCATGTCATCGATCACTGTTGCATGGATCGATGCTCATGATATCCATCTCTGGATTGTCTGGTCCAGACTCGATTATTTACTGACCGCTGGCATATAGCTGGAATATTGCTGAGTGCGGCATTAAACAACAAACCAGCCAACCAACCAACAATAGTACATTCATTCTTGCACATTGTCATACCAAACATGTTTGTATATTTATGCTGACAGCAACTTGGTTTGTTTATTAACTGGTTGTATTCGTTGACATTTCAAGCTGTTGACTACATGTCCAGGTGAGCTGCACTGGCGTGATGTCCAGGTGAGCTACACTGGCGTGATGTCCAGGTCCAGGTGAGCTGCACTGGCGTGATGTCCAGGTGAGCTACACTGGTGTGATGTCCAGGTGAGCTACTCTGGCATGATGTCCAGGTGAGCTACACTGGCGTGATGTCCAGGTGAGCTACACTGGTGTGATGTCCAGGTGAGCTACACTGGTGTGATGTCCAGGTGAGCTACTCTGGCATGATGTCCAGGTGAGCTACACTGGTGTGATGTCCAGATGAGCTACACTGGTGTGATGTCCAGGTGAGCTACTCTGGCATGATGTCCAGGTGAGCTACACTGGCGTGATGTCCAGGTGAGCTACACTGGCGTGATGTCCAGGTGAGCTACATCGCCGGATGTCCAGGTGAGCTGCACTGGTGTGATGTCCAGGTGAGCTACACTGGTGGGAGCAATCCTGCATTTGCATTCGAAGTTAATATTTTGTATTCGAAAAATGCTAAAAAATCCTTTAAACTTCTTGGAATTGTTTACAATCAAGTCTATAAGATCCATGTTATTGCTACTTTCAGCTGGGGAATGACTCCGCCTACAGTCAACGCCTACTACACACCCACCAAGAACGAGATTGTCTTCCCTGCAGGAATACTCCAAGCACCATTTTATGATCAAAATTTTCCCAAGTAAGATCAATCAGCCATAGATGTCAACAGTTTGCAACTTATTCATATCATCCCACTTTAGACCATCACTTTCGGATTGGTTGGCCCAGTTGTTGAAGCACTTGCTAGTTGTGCTGAAGACCTGGGTTTGATTCCCAGCATGGGTGAATCCCATTCACGATATCCCCTTTTACTATATGGCTGGAATGTTGCCTAAAGTTATGTAAAACTCACTCACTCACTCACTCACCCATCCGATAAGCCCAGATTGTGTCATGATAGGTGTTATAAGAGTAGTATGGTTCCCAGCTGTCTTTGCACTGCAACATCTATGTGGTGTTTCAATTCAAGATCGGGGGCACGGGTGGCCCAGTCGTCTAAGGCGCCACGATTTGCTGTGCAGAGTTGCGTCCCTTGGGCATGCCAGAAACCTATGATTGTGGGTTCGAATCCCGGTTCGCCCCGATTATGTTTCTAGGTTTGTCAGCACCATACCCGTGCTCGTGGGTTTCACCAAAGTGGTAAAGGTCTGAGACCTGCATAATTTCGGGCTTTCCCCCCACATTGAGCTGACACGCCACAATATAACTGGAATACTGTTAAAAGTTGGTGTAAAACCCAACTCACACACTCACGCACTCAATTCTAGATCCTTTTTGATAACTTTTCTCAAGCCCCATTCCTGGTATGGGATGGCCAAGACATCTAAAATGCTGTGTTTCGCAATGCAGAGTTGCGTCCCTTAGGCATGCCAGAATCCTATGATCCTGGGTCCTAAAGCCAGATTTGCCCGGCCTTGGCTAAATTATTTACAAGTGGTGATATAGGTTAAATATTGCTGACTGTAAAAACTCTCAGCCTTGACTAGAGATTAAAAGTTGTCAAGAATATTTTGTTCGATAAGCATTACTTAGAAGTTGATGGATGACAAGGTGGACACAATTTTTTATGGACAACTTCTTTAATACTGTAAAAAGTGTCATTTTGGTATAGATGCTTATACCGTTGTCAAGCAAGTCTTTGGATCTATACCGAAACATCGCTTTTTACTGGATTAAAGAAATTGATAAAAAATAAAAATTGTGTCTACCTTGTCAAGAATAAACGGCATCACATTTGCACCTGAGTTTCTTTAACATTTGTGTTCCTTGTAAAGGCATTTATTTGTGTTATTTACCCAGAAGTTATTGCTCGTATCACACACTGTAACTAATATTACACTGTTTACTTCACAGGTCACTAAACTTTGGTGCTATGGGTGTGGTGATGGGGCACGAACTCACTCACGGTTTTGATGATCAAGGTGCTTTACTAACACTTAATGACGCAAGAGCATTTTCTGTGTCTGGTTTAGGAATTTTGCCCTTAAACTGAGAAAATCAAATTAATGCAGCCATTGCACATGAGGTATCAAATATTGTGAAAATTATTATCATTCTAACAATCTTTATATCACATTAAGTTTTGATACATTTATAAACGTTTTTCATTGTGTTTGTTAATGAATGAATGATTCCCCACCCAAAACTGTATGTTTTGTAGCTGTGACTGAACTTCTTGTATTTCTCCAACAAACCTCCCTGACTTAGTCACAAATGGTGGGTCCCTATAGTGAAAAGATTCCAGAGTAAAAATGGCCCCTTGTATTCTAGGCTTGTAGTCTACTAATTCAGGATAACATGGCCGGTATTGTTCACGTTGTCAAGCATACTTTGCCATGGTCCAGACTCAGTTAGTTACAGATTATAGTAAAATAGTTGGAAAATTGCTGACTGAGGCATAAAATACTGATGCTCATGGGATTCTGGGCCAGAAGTCCCCAGTACCCTATACTTGTGAGATCCGAGTACAAGGGGTTCTGGGCCAGAAGTCCCGAGTACCCTATACTTGTACCCTTGAGCTGGGGTTTTGATGGATAAATACGTGGCCTAGAGGATCATGTGTTGCATGTGTCAGTATGGCTCATCAATTGGGTTGAATGAATAATTGCTAAATATGTTTTCATGAAAGAAAACTGTATTTATTCAATAAAAATATAAAATGATAAAACTTGGTAAAATACAGAAATGCTAAAAGATCAAGCTGTACATTGAACCAGTTTTGAAATATGTTGAGAGGTCGGTAGTATTTGCTGTAAAGATGGCCGATGGTTGTAAGAAAACTTGACAAGTTCCTGTTGCCATGGTGGAGGGTTGATGTTTGTGGAAGGAGTCCCATGTGGCTACCCCCTCACACTTGGTGGAGGTTCATGATATCTGGCTGTCGTCACTGGGATTTGATCTCTGTTTGAAAGTTGCAAGAGATGGTTGAGGATTGGAATTTGGAATCCCAGATCCAAATGCCTCTGTAGAATGTCCCTTGATGCCTCTGTAAAATGTCCCATGATGCCTCTGTACCTATGACGCCAGAAACCTATGATTGTGGGTTCGAATCCCCGTTCGACCCGATTAGGTTTCTAGGTTTGTCAGCACCATATCCGTGCTCATGGGTTTCACCGAAGTTGTAAACGTCTGAGATCACTTCAGGCTTTCCTCCCACATTAAGTTGACACGCTGTGATATAACTGAAATACTGTTAAAAACGGTGTTAAACCCAACTCACTCACTCACTCCGTCATGTACCCCATGTACTCATGTATCTTTATGTGTTATATCTATTGGCAGGCCGTGAGTACGACAAGTTTGGTAATCTACGTCCCTGGTGGAACAACCAGTCAATAGAGAAATTTAAACAGCGGACGCAATGTATGATCAAACAGTACTCTCAGTACAAGCTTAACGGAGAGGCGGTAAGTAGAAACATACGTTCTGACACACAATGTATGATAAAACAGTACTCTCAGTACAAGCTTAACGGAGAGGCGGTAAGTAGAAACATACGCTCTGACACACAATGTATGATCAAACAGTACTCTCAGTACAAGCTTAACGGAGAGGCGGTAAGTAGAAACATACGCTCTGACACACAATGTATGATCAAACAGTACTCTCAGTACAAGCTTAACGGAGAGGCGGTAAGTAGAAACATACGCTCTGACACACAATGTATGATCAAACAGTACTCTCAGTACAAGCTTAACGGAGAGGCGGTAAGTAGAAACATACGCTCTGACACACAATGTATGATCAAACAGTACTCTCAGTACAAGCTTAACGGAGAGGCGGTGAGTAGAAACATACGCTCTGACACACAATGTATGATCAAACAGTACTCTCAGTACAAGCTTAACGGAGAGGCGGTAAGTAGAAACATACGCTCTGACACACAATGTATGATCAAACAGTACTCTCAGTACAAGCTTAACGGAGAGGCGGTAAGTAGAAACATACGCTCTGACACACAATGTATGATCAAACAGTACTCTCAGTACAAGCTTAACGGAGAGGCGGTAAGTAGAAACATACGCTCTGACACACAATGTATGATCAAACAGTACTCTCAGTACAAGCTTAACGGAGAGGCGGTAAGTAGAAACATACGCTCTGACACACAATGTATGATCAAACCGTACTCTCAGTACAAGTTTAACGGAGAGGCGGTAAGTAGAAACATACGCTCTGACGCACAATGTATGATCAAACAGTACTCTCAGGACAAGCTTAACGGAGAGGCGGTGAGTAGAAACATACGCTCTGACACACAATGTATGATCAAACAGTACTCTCAGTACAAGCTTAACGGAGAGGCGGTAAGTAGAACATACGCTCTGACACACAATGTATGATCAAACAGTACTCTCAGTACAAGCTTAATGGAGAGGTGGTAAGTAGAAACATACGCAATGACACACAATGTATGATCAAACCGTACTCCCAGTACAAGCTTAACGGAGAGGCGGTAAGTAGAAACATACGCACTGACACACAATGTATGATCAAACCGTACTCTCAGTACAAGCTTAACGGAGAGGCGGTAAGTAGAAACATACGCAATGACACACAACTATATATATATACGTGAACCATAGAAACATATAGAGAAGTATGTAAGTAAAGAAGAGAGGTTTCCTATGTGTACCACTTAATGACAAAAGTAACAATCAGTCAAGTGTTACCACAGAGTGTCTTTATTCTTATCACGATGTGCTGCCCGTGATTTCCAAAATTTACACGCTAATCCTGGACAAACAAATGGTGCATCTCGAGTCAAAAACTTAACTTTATGATTACCGTATTCGACGTAATAAGCACCCCGCTCTAACAAGCGCCCACGGCGATATTTGCTAATATATTGGCTAGTGAACAATCCCAATTAGCACCCCTTCTGATTGATCAAAGTACACAACATTTATTCATTCGTGTATAATACGCACTCATGTGTTATATGCGCCCTTAATTATGGGCAATTAAATTCTGGAAAATATATCTGTCGTGTATGATACGCACATACTTTTCTATTGTATCATGTCTTCAGGCTGTCAACATAAACTACGAAATTTACAATCTTTCTCTCTTTTTCTGACCAACATTATATTCTAATAAGAGCCCCCTATTTCTAATTTTGAGAGCGCTCCGAGCGCTTATTACGTCGAATACGGTACTTGAAATAAGAAACATCAGCTTCTTTGATCGCCTGACACCTTGCTTCTTGTGTTTCAGGTCCGAGGGGAACAGACATTGGGAGAAAATATAGCTGACAATGGAGGACTTAAGTCAGCATACTATGTAAGTGTAGCAGGGTGTGATTTGTCTTGCTAAAAGTTATTACTCTGTTCAGGTTGGCTGGTTGGTTTGTTGTTTAACGCCGCACTCAGGTATATTCCAGCTATATGACGGCGGTCTCTAAATAATCAAGTCTGGACCAGACAATCCAGTGATTAATATCATGAGCATCGATGCACGCAATTGGGATCGATGACATGCATCAACCAATCTCGGATCAGGTCTGTGTTTTCAGTCACTGATCTGCCTAGCCGAGACAAGATTATTTAGAGGCCAAACAAAAATATCAAATATATCAACTCAAGTCGATAAAACTTTACAAACCCACGGTTTGCTTAGTGTTGATATATTCTATATCAAAATACTCAACGGTGAGATTCTGTTTATCATCCAAATTGTTATTCCAACTTTTTCAGTTGGTAGAATGTAATAACTAGTGCCATGAGTGTAAAAGGTACTGCTAGCTTGCAGTAGCAGAGAGATTAGTGATGTCATTTAATTTTGACGACATGGTAACCGATGACATCACAATGGTTTGCAAAGCATTGTGATGCGATTTCATTGAAGATATACCTCCTAGGATTTGTTTGTTGTTTAACACCGCACTCAGCAATATTCCAGCTATATGACGGCAGTCTGTAAATAACCAAGTCTGGACCGGACAATCCAGTGACTGATATCATGAGCATCAATCTACACAATTGGGATACGATGACATGCATCAATCAAGTCAGCGAGCCAAGTTAGTCACCTCTTACAACAAGCATAGTCACCTGTTACACAAGCATGGGTTGCTGAAGACCTGTCCTTACCCGGAACCTCCTAGAAGGTAGCAGTTGGCTTTCCTGTGGAAGCTGGGGGGCATGGGTGGCCCAGTCGTCTAAGGCGCCGCGATTCGCTGTGCAGAGTTGCGTCCCTTGGGCACGCCAGAAACCTATGATTGTGGGTTCGAATCCCGGTTCGCCCCGATTATGTTTCTAGGTTTGTCAGCACCATACCCGTGCTTGTGGGTTTCACCGAAGTGGTAAACGTCTAAGACCTGCATCACTTCGGGCTTTCCTCCCACATTAAGCTGACACGCCGTGATATGACTGGAATACTGTTAAAAAGCGGCGTTAAACCCAACTCACTCACTCACTCACTCCTGTGGAAGCCAGTGTTGGATGATCAAATCATTCATTATCTCCTTGCCATGACTTATCCTGAACTTTGTGCATCTCAGGCGTACGAGGACTGGGTGTCTAAGAAGGGGATGGAGGTGGCTCTGCCAGCAGTTGGCCTCTCTCACAGGCAGCTCTTCTTCATGGGATTCGCACAGGTAAGCAGAGCTACAGATAAGCTGCGTATTTGCCTAAAATACCCCTAAAAAATGTTCAAAACCCAATTACTTTCAACTTGCATACAGAAATGCATGCATTAAATGAAAACCTCAAATGTATTAAAACACCACACGTAAAAATCCAATGAAGCTTTTTGAGCATGCATACAATGGCGCTAATTTCCGAAACACAATCACGAGCTAATTTACTTTCCGAGTCTATCCTATAGTTAGAACTGTTATATACATCTAAAACACTATTTTATTTTATTTTAAATCTCAAAGTTTGGGGGAAAACCCAATAGAGTGATGAATAGATGAGTGAAAAAATATTGGTTACCCATTAAAAATAAAATAAAATAGAAACCTGTAAGTAAACACTCAATTGCTCAAAAAGTTATCTGGAGCTCTGCAGGTAAGGCCTAAACAAAGAAAGGAATTGGTTCTCAGGCAATGACTTTTGAAAATAGAGTGCGGGCGGGCGGTGTTTTTTTTTTTTCTTGTTCAAACTAGTATGTAACCAAATAAACAGTTGTGTACCATCAACCTGGGGAAGGGCCTCCCTACATAAACAAGCATACAAACTCATATTGCCACCATGACCATAACAGGAGATGTGCAGTAAAGCAGCGCACATGTAAAGGGAAGTAACTGTGTGCTATATTGGATCACATTGTTTTTAAGTATTAGGATGTTTTGATTTTTTTATAAAATGGAAATGCAAACGAAATGTTGTGCTGACTTTGTGATGATGCGGGCAGTGCCGGAGAACGAAAACTATTAATTTTATCAGCCTAATAAACCTAACAACTGAAATTTTCAAACTTAAGAAAAAAATATTTTGATTGCTTAGCTTGTAGGTAATTCAGATGGTAAATGTTCAATTATAATGTTTTAACATATGAAGTGGGGGAAAATAGTGAAATGATATGTTGCTTGGGTTTTTTATGGCCAGTATAGTTACGTCCCTTTGCATGTCAGCCTCCTTCGACACCTTCGTTACACTCTCGGTAATATGGCTGTGTCAGTGTGGAAGCTGCCATTACAAGAATCTTGAAATTTGCCATCTAATTCAAAATGTAGTATCGGTAATGTTTATACTTTGGTTTATGTCTTTTGGAATGCAATCATAGTGAATTTTTAAAAGGTTTACGACTAACCAGATTTCCCAGATGTATTTAACATTTTGTTTGTTTAATCAGATTGGTTTGAGAGTGCAGACGAACAGCAAATCTCCCAGCTCCCCCCTTACATTCTTACTATACCAATTACCAATTAATAATTGAAATGAACTAGAAATTCAAATTGACAAACAAAGAAAATGATTTCGCTTGGGTGAGAGCAATCGGCATCACGGCAGTCATCATTTGTTTGTAAACATAAAAGTCTGTCGGTTGCGAGTTCAACTCCAAACATGGTTGTAGCCACCCATCACTGTGGAGTTTTGACTGTGATAGTATAGAGAACTCTACAGACCGGCTATTGCTGTGAGGAGCTTGGTCAGTCTACTTTGTTTTTTGTTTTCAGTACTCAGATTTGTAACAGACTCAAATGTAAACAAAATGAACTGTTCTCAAAGATTTATTTATATTCAACAATTATTGTGAAATTTGGATTGGATGATCTGTGAACCAAGTAACGAGGAACCTGAAACCGGGAAGAAACTGCGTAAGAAAGTTGTGACTGACCGACTGCCCGCTATTCCAGGTGTGGTGCTCCAGCAGTACAAAGGAGGCTGACCACCTGCAGATCGTTAGTGACCCACACAGTCCGGCCAAATACAGGTGAGTACAGGTAGTTCCAGTTAAACATGATCGCCTCCGTGGTCTAGTGATAGAGCGTCCGCCCAGAGAGCGGAAGGTCCGGGTTCGATCCCAGGCCGCATCATTCCAAAAGACATTAAAAGATGGTACTTGTTGTTACCCTGTCTGGCGCTCGGCATTAAGGGGCTAAAACAAGGACTGGTGGGCTTGGAGTCAGTATACTGTGTCTGAGTGGGGCATTCATGTTTAACTGCGGCATGGCATCTCAGTGAGCTAGCACTATAAATCGGCATCAATCCAGACTAGTGCAAGCAGCCACACAAACTCACACGCACGTACATGCACGTCGCTATATAAGTGCAATAATCTTGGACGCGATGTTAAACCCAATTTCACCTCACCTCCAGTAAAACACTGTGAGTGAGTGAGTATGGTTTTACGCCACTTTTAGCAATATTCCAGCAAAATCAAGGCAGGGGACGCCAGAAATGGGCTTCACACATTGTACCCATGTCGGGAATCGAACCTGAGTCTTTGGCGTGATGAGCAAACGCTTTAACCACTAGGCTACCTGACCGCCCCAAAACACTGTGAACACAGGTAGGTACAGGTAGTTCCAGTAAAACACCGTAAAAGGAGACCATGCTTGTCTTAAAGAGGCGACTAAGGGGAAATACTGTTGAAAGAAGCATTAACCCAACACTCACTCCACCCGTGAAGATCCGGGGTAGAATAGGTCTTCAGCAACCATGCTTGCCGTAACTGGCGACTATGCTTGTCGTAAGAGGCGGCTAACGGGATCGGGTGGTCAGACTCTCTGACTTGGTTGATGCATGTCATCGTATCCCAATTGTGTGGATCAATGATCATGATATCAATCACTAGATTGTCTGGTCCAGACTTGGTTATTTACAGACTGCCGTCATATAGCTGGAATATTGCTGAGTGCGGTGTTAAACAACAAACAAATCCTATGAGGTATCTTTTCAATGAAATCGCATCACAATGCTTTGCAAAACCTTGTGATGTCATCGGTTACCATGCCATGAAAATTAAATGACATCACTAATCGGGCGGTCAGGCTAGCTGACTTGGTTGATGCATGTCATCGTATCCCAATTTAGTGGATCAATGCTCATATCAATCACTGAATTGTCTGGTCCAAACTTTGCAGGCCAATATGAAGTAGCTGAGAAACTACTGGCTGCAGCGTTAAACATATATTCACTCACTCACTCACACACTCACTCACTCACTCACTCACTCACCCACACACTCACTCACTCACCCACTCACTCACACACTCACTCACTCACTCACTCACACACTCACTCACTCACACACTCACCGACTCACTCACTCACTCACCCACCCACCCACTCACTCACTCACCCACCCACCCACCCACTCACTCACACACTCACTCACTCACTCACCCACCCACCACTCACTCACTCACTCACTCACCCTTGTTATCCTCTGTTTCAGGGTAATTGGGACTCTGTCCAACTCTAAAGAATTTGCTCGGGAATACAAATGTCCAGTCGGGTCACCCATGAACCCCAAGGAGAAGTGTGTTGTGTGGTGAGCCATGACACAGTGTGAGACAGGGTAGTCCCACATTACGCACTGTGATACGACCAGCGGTCACTATCAGCCAGACTGGAGTGCCCTCTAGTGACCAACAACTTTCAACCCACCCACCTACTGTTTCGTTGAAGATGTATTTCTGAATCTCATGGAGTGCTGTGAGGAGCATTATCAAAGACAAGTCTTAAACTGAATCATGATAAAGAGATTAACTTTTGAATCATGATAAAGAGATTAACTATTGAATCATGATAAAGAGATTAACTATTGAATCATGATAAAGAGATTAACTATTGAATCATGATAAAGAGATTAACTATTGATTCATGATAAAGAGATTAACTATTGATTCATGAAAAGGAGATTAACTATTGAATCATGATAAGGAGATTAACTATTGAATCATGATAAAGAGATTGACTATTGAATCATGATAAAGAGATTAACTATTGAATCATGATAAAGAGATTACCTTGTGAATCATGATGAGTTACACTATTGAATCATCATGATCATTAATGAACAGATTAACTATTGAATCATCATGATCATTAATGAACAGATTAACTATTGAATCATCATGATCATTAATGAACAGATTAACTATTGAATCATCATGAACAGATTAACTATTGAATCATCATAAACAGATTAACTATTGAATCATCATAAACAGATTAACTATTGAATCATCATAAACAGATTAACTATTAAATCATCATAAACAGATTAACTATTTAATCATCATGATCATAATGAAAAGATCAACTATTGAATCATCATGAAGAGATAACCTTTCAAACCATGATGACTATGTTTACCATTGAATCATCATGAACAGATTAACTATTGTATCATCATAAACAGATTAACTTTTGAATCATCATGATCACAATGAATAGATTAACTATTGAATCATGAATAGATTGATTATTGAATTATCATGAAGAGATAACCTATCGGACCATGATGACTATGTTTACCATTGAATCATTATGAATAGATTACACAGATTCAGGCAAGAATGATTCTCTATTTAATCATGAATGATATCATTTGCATTCACATGGGCCAGCCTTCAGTTGTGTACCTTTTATAGGAGAGTGACTCATTGCTCATAGATTTGTCTGTTCACATACTGGCGCGTTGTGACTGTTTATCATCTTAAGATAGCACAGGGGGCCAAGTTGTCCAAGAGTTACATCCCTTGACCTGATCATGAGTTTGAATCCCAGTCACCTGATTAATCTTTAGCCTTCCAGACCCAATTCTGTGCTGATGGTTTCACACATCTAGGATCTGTGTCCACCTCTGGCCTCCCACTGCTGCCACATGCCATATGCCGAGCTCATGTACTTGGAGGCTCGTTCTATTGTATTCCAAACTCCGACGTCTTTTCACATGTTCATGGGCTTTGAATCATTTTATGTGGAATCAGCCATGGATATTTTTCTTTGTAGTGTTGATAAAAAAAGGTTTGTCTCAAGGCATATCTCAATTTATCTCATAAGGTGTGTCTCGAGGTATATCTCAGTGTATATCCCAAGGTGTATCTTGAGGTATATCTCAGCGTATATCCCAAGGTGTATCTTGAGGTACCGGTATATCTCAGCGTATATCCCAAGGTGTATCTTGAGGTACCGGTATATCTCAGCGTATATCCCAAGGTGTGTCTTGAGGTATATCTCAGTGTAACTCCCAAGGTGTGTCTCATGGTATATGTCAGTTATCTCTCAAGGTGTGTCTCATGTTATATCTCAACATATCTCTCAAGGTGTGTCTCTAGGTATATCTCAGTTATCTCTCAAGGTGTGTCTCATGTCATATCTCAACATATCTGTCAAGGTGTGTCTCATGGTATATCTCAGTTATCTCTCAAGGTGTATCTCTAGGTATATCTCAGTTATCTCTCAAGATGTGTCTCGAGCTACGTCTCCACACAAGTCGCTGTCAGTATGTCTGTGTATCTTTTGACTAGTGTCTTTGACTGTCATTATGAAATATGAAAATCCACCCATTTATTGTTATTTGTCCATGGTTGACCTACAATGTATATTGTTGTTCAGAGTTCATGCGAACCTTTGTACAAATTTTATGATTTTATTATATACTGGTATATTATGTTTTACAATATTCCCCTGGATGGGATATTTCTATGAGTAATCAATCCTTTTTTAAGCTTAATACAAAACAAAAAATCTCAGGCAAGCACTTTTAAGGCCTTTTTTGCTCTCTTCATTTACAAGGGTGTATACAATTCCGGTCTAAAAGCATAATATTATGTACTGGGGGTGTCATTAATACATTGTATTGATGCCATCATTGATACATGGTTTTGATGTATACACAGGGTTGAAGAGTTTTGGTGTTTTTTTCCCCAAAACAAAGACGTTATGTGAGCATGTAACACCGGAAATACCGTTTCAACAAATCCGTACTGAAGTACGCCTGGTTATAAAAAAGTGTTCATTGTATTTCTGGACTTACCATATTCGACGTAATAAGCGCCCACGGCGATATTTGCTAATATATTGGCCAGTGAACAATCCCAATTGGCACCCCTTCCGATTGATCAATGTACACAAGACTTATTTCTTTGTGTATAATAAGCACTCTTGTGTTATATGCACCCTTAATTATGGGCAATTAAATTCTGGAAAAATATATCTGTCGTACATAAACATTTCAGGCAGTCGGCATAAACCACAAAATTTATCTTTCACCTCTGTTTGTTTTTTTCACCAAATATATTATTCTAATAAGAAACCCCTAGTTCTAATTTTGAGAGCGACCAGGGCGCTTATTACGTCGAATACAACATATTTGTAATCTATTTTAATAATTTTATTCAAATATGTTTAACAACAAGTAATCAACAGCTGGGTAGAACAGGGTATCTTAAGTGTGACTCCATGTTCAAAGATTAACAATAACACGGGGGTGCAGTGATGTCTTCATTGGCACCCAGTGCGTTGTCATTAATGGTTTCATGAAGGACTGGGTGCACGGGTGGCCCAGTCGTCTAAGGTACCGCAATTCGCTGTGCAGAGTTGCATCCCTAGGGCACGCCAGAAACCCATGATTTTGGGTTCGAATCCCTGTTCGCCCCGATTATGTTTCTAGGTTTGTCAGCACCATACCCGTGCTCGTGGGTTTCACCGATGTGGTAAACGTCTGAGACCTGCATCACTTCGGCCTTTTAAGCTGACACGCCATGATATAACTGGAATACTGTTAAAAGCGGCGTTAAACCCAACTCACTCACTCATGAAGGACTGAATACTTTTTAAAGCAGCATGGATGCCAGTTGCGTGCTAGCAGCATTTTATACTTAGAGTAACATGGACTCAACCTCGCCAAATTGGGGCAGTTGGTCAGACCAGTTGTGGAAGACCGAGTTTTAATCCCGTAGTGGGTATTCGTTGTACAGTCAATGCATGAAAGCCAAAAGTTTTCAATCACCGAGTTGCTAATGATTTTCACAGAGATAGGGTTGGCAGATAATTTGTATATTTCTCCAAACATTATCAGTTCTTGTTTACTTATTTTATCCTGCTTTCAAACAAGGTTTAGATCGGTCAGGACACGAACTGTGAATTGAACTTCCTGAACAAAGCTGTACTTAATTCATACTAATATTTTTATGATGTGCAATATTAATGTATAATCACTATTGTTTACATGTCATGCTTATGTTATGATTTGGGGGGACGGTCGGCCCAGTCATCTAAGGCGCTGGAATTTGTTGTGCAGAGTTGTGTCCTCTTAGGCAGGACAGAAATCTACGATTGTGGGTTCAAATCCGGGTTCGCCCCGATTATGTTTCTAGGTTTGTCAGCACCATACCCGTACTCGTGGGTTTCACTGAAGTGGTGAACGTCTGAGACCTGCATCACTTCGGGATTTCCATCCACATTAAGCTGACACGCCGTGATATGTCTGGAATACTGTGTAATCGACGTTAAGCGAAACTCACTCACTCACTATGTTATGGTGTATTTTGTTTTTCCTGAAGCCATTGTTCTGTTTAGACATCATAATATGCATTGTAGTCTAGAGAGGTCTTCAGAAGCATATCCCCATTTCAAAATGAGACTGTACAGTTGGGATTTGGTGGACCAATATCTAACATGCTCAATTTGATGTGCAGAATTGTGTCCCTTGAGTGAACCAGGATGCTATAATCATGAGTTCGAATCCTGGTTTCTCCAGAGTATGTTTGTCAGCACCTTACTTGTGCTTGTAGGTTTCACCATGGGTTTTTTATACACAGATTTACAAAAAGTGTGCTCACCAGGGTTTTTTTCATTTATACCATAAATGCAAAAACATATTGAAGTCAATTCTGATATATAAATAAGTCAACCAATGTCACAGACTACTCATTGAATCATTAACGAAATCCTTGACATCATTCAGTGCAAAAATGCAACACACGCCCACTTTATTTTTAGACAATTGGGAAACAGTAGTCCACTAATTGTTTTTTGGTTTTTGGGAACAGAAATGCTAAACAAATTTCTTGGTTAGCCAGTCAAAAGACATGGAATCACTTGCAATGTATTTAGAAACATCTATTACCTGCACCACTTCAGGCTTTCATACGGGGCGGTGAGGTAGCCTAGTGGTTAAAGCGTTTGCCAGTCGCACTGAAGACCTGGGTTCGATTCCCTACATGGGTACAATGTGTGAAGCCCATTTCTGGTGTCCCCCACGGGGATATTGCTTGAATAATGCTAAAAGCGACGTAAAACCAATCTCACTCAGGCTTTCATCCCACATGAGTGAGTGAGTGAGTTTGGTTTTACGCCGCTTTTAGCAATATTCCAGCAATATCACGGCGGGGAACACCGGAAATGGGCTTCACACATTGTACCCATGTCAGGATTCGAACCCGGGACTTCGGCGTGACGAGCGAACACTTTAACCACAAGGCTACCCGACCGCCCCTCATCCCACATGAAGGGGACACACCGTGATACAGCTGAAGTACTGTTCAAGATGGTGATAACGCTCACTCACGGAAATATACATCAATAAACCAAGTGTCATGTCAGTTAGGAGCAGGTGTGACCAAGGGGAATGAGGAAGTGTATCTGTATTTATTCTTGGTGTGATTCACAAATTATTTGCATCGCTTTGCTTCAATATGTCTTGCCCTGTCTGTTATTTGTGGATATTCCAATGTTGCTTTCAGGGCAGAATAGATCCCCAGTACCTCATGTTTGTGTCTCTGTAGGGATTCCAGGGTAGAATAGATTCCCAGTACCTCATGTTTGTGTTTCTGTAGGGATTCCAGGGTAGAATAGATTCCCAGTACCTCATGTTTGTGTTTCTATAGGGATTCCAGGGTAGAATAGGTCCCCAGTACCCCATGCTTGTCTCTCTAGGGATTCCAGGACAGAATAGATGCCCAGTACCCCATGCTTGTCTCTGTAGGGATTCCAGGACAGAATAGATCGCCAGTACCCCATGCTTGTCTCTCTAGGGATTCCAGGACAGAATAGATGCCCAGTACCCCATGCTTGTCTCTGTAGGGATTCCAGGACAGAATAGATCGCCAGTACCCCATGCTTGTCTCTGTAGGGATTCCAGGACAGAATAGGTCCCCAGTACCCCATGCTTGTCTCTGTAGGGATTCCAGGACAGAATAGATGCCCAGTACCCCATGCTTGTCTCTGTAGGGATTCCAGGACAGAATAGATCGCCAGTACCCCATGCTTGTCTCTGTAGGGATTCCAGGACAGAATAGGTCCCCAGTACCCCATCCTTGTCAGAATAGGTCCCCAATACCCTTTGCTTGTCTCTGTAGGGATTCCAGGACAGAATAGATCCCCAGTACTCCATGCTTGTCTTTGTAGGGATTCCAGGACAGAATAGGTCCCCAGTACCCCATGCTTGTCTCTGTAGGGATTCCAGGACAGAATAGATCCCCAGTACCCCATGCTTGTCTCTGTAGGGATTCCAGGACAGAATAGATCGCCAGTACCCCATGCTTGTCTCTCTAGGGATTCCAGGACAGAATAGATGCCCAGTACCCCATGCTTGTCTCTGTAGGGATTCCAGGACAGAATAGATCGCCAGTACCCCATGCTTGTCTCTGTAGGGATTCCAGGACAGAATAGGTCCCCAGTACCCCATGCTTGTCTCTGTAGGGATTCCAGGACAGAATAGATGCCCAGTACCCCATGCTTGTCTCTGTAGGGATTCCAGGACAGAAAAGATCCCCAGTAACCCATGCTTGTCAGAATAGGTCCCCAGTACCCCATGCTTGTCTTTGTAAGAATTCCAGGACAGAATAGGTCCCCAATACCCTTTGCTTGTCTCTGTAGGGATTCCAGGACAGAATAGATCCCCAGTACCCCATGCTTGTCTCTGTAGGGATTCCAGGACAGAATAGGTCCCCAGTACCCCATGCTTGTCAGAATAGGTCCCCAGTACCCCATGCTTGTCTTTGTAAGAATTCCAGGTCAGAATAGGTCCCCAATACCCTTTGCTTGTCTCTGTAGGGATTCCAGGACAGAATAGATCCCCAGTACCCCATGCTTGTCTCTGTAGGGATTCCAGGACAGAATAGGTCCCCAGTACCCCATGCTTGTCTCTGTAGGGATTCCAGGACAGAATAGATCCCCAGTACCCCATGCTTGTCTCTGTGGGGATTCCAGGACAGAATAGGTCCCCAGTACCCTATGCTTGTCTCCATGTAGGGATTCCAGGGCAGAATAGGCCCCAAGTACCTCATGCCTGTCTCTGTAGGGATTCCAGGACAGAATAGATGCCCAGTACCCCATGCTTGTCTCTGTAGGGATTCCAGATTAGAATAAATCCCCAGTACCCCATGCTTGTCTCTGTAGGGATTCCAGGGCAGAATAAATCCCCAGTACCCCATGCTTGTCTCTGTAAGGATTCCAGGTTAGAATAGATCCCAAGTGTCCGCCACTGGTTGGTCGTCCCTGATACTGGAGTAAACTGTCACTCATCCCTTCTTCAGGGTGTGGTGATGTAGCCTTGTGGGTTAAGCGTTAACTGATCAGGCCAAGGGCCTGTGTTGATTCCCAACATGGTTAAACCGTGTGAAGTGCATTTTGGTGTTTCCCATTGTAATATTGCTAAGAGTTCGTAACTCTGTACGTATTCCTGACTCCTATTTGATTGCCAGCAATCTGGTGTTTCGCTGTTCCGTCTCTATCCCTAATGCCTCTTGCTGTTTCCATGATCTAGGGATCATATGCAAAGCTTAGTAGCAATAGTTTAAGTCACTTTTTACATTCTAGTTTACAGTGTTCATACAATTATTTCATATTTTAATGTAACATTTGTACCTTATGGACTGTTTACCCAAATTAAAGTGTATATTGTGTTGACAACTTGTACCATTAACAGTTTTATATATTTATTGCATATCATGTTTGTTGTTACATAATTATTTAGAATTATTTTCATTGCAGTCAAAATAGATATAGTTAAAATGTTTGCTTGTCTGAAGACAAAATTTTGTATTGAGTCAATATATGGCAAAGATTCACTGCATTTTGTAACAAACTTCATGATATTTATTATATAATTGGATATTTGGTAGACACTGCTTTTCTTGTCCGTGTATTGTGTTAGCATGACTGATTAAAAATAAATAAATAAAAACGTTGTGCTTTAAAGAGGAAAAATATATTATGATAATAAACATCGATATTATTACAACATGCGAAGAAAGCATGATCCGTAGGAAGTCAGCAGTATCGGAGTGTATCATCCTTCATCATAACCTCCTCAACAACATCAACAACGTTGTTAAGGGCGTGAAATCATCACTTTGTACTTGTGAATTTTAACAATTTATCATGGGCCATATGAATAATAGAGGCCAGTTTTATGTTTTAATTTTCATACATGACAAGTATCGTGAAACGTAACAGCTGCAAATATAATGCATCTTGTACAACTAATCAGGCTGAGACGATACGCCAACTGCACGGTCCGATGTGTACGATGCGTCTCGTCCCACTATTGATAACTAACAACCAAAGTGATACTGACGTGACTCGATACCTCCTTGATTACCCAGTAACTATATTTCCAGTTTATTCTGATAAATACCCTGGACCACTGACCACCATTGCTCCATTTCAGAGGTGACACACTATCTCTCACTATTCGCTCGTCACGCCGAAGACCCAGGTTTGATTCCCGACATGGGTACAATGTGTGAAGCCCATTTGTGGTATCCCCTGCCGTGATATTGCTGGAATATTGCTAAAAGCGGTGTAAAACCATACTCTTTCACTCACTCACTCACTCACTCACTCACTCACTCACTCACTTCAGTGTTCCCATTCGTAACAGGATCGGGTGGTCAGGCTCGCTGACTTGGTTGAAGCATGTCATCGATCCCAATAGGGTGGATGATCATGATGTCAATCACTGGATGGTCTGGTTCAGACTCCATTATTTACAGATCTCTGTCATATAGCTGAAATATTGCTGAGTGCCGCGTTAAACAACAAATCAACCAACCATTCATATGATCCTGAGGACAAAACTCTGACAGCAGTCGTGTCCAGGGTATTTATCATGACAACGGAGAAACAATACCCTGCATAAAGGAGGATGATCAGGATAAAGTGGACTATTTTTTGTAGACCCTTGTGACAAATGACTATTGTTCTTGTGTACTATAATAATGTATAGATAAGGCTATATTTGTACACCCTTGTAAATATACACCATAGTCTCTACAACTGTTTGTGGGACTTGCTTGTACATTATTCAGTGTTTTAATGAGTGTACGTCTTAATCTCCTGTACGTATATATTACGTGTGGAACAGATAACGTATGGAACGTCAGAGATCAATTGTATGAAGGTGGGGTGAAATGGGGTTTAACGTCGCGTCCAAGATTATTGCACTTATATAGCGACGTCCATGCACGTGTGTGTGTGGTTGCTTGTATTAGTCCAGACTGATGCCAGTTTATAGTGCTAGCTCACTGAGATACCATGCTGCAGTTTGACATGAATACCCCACTCAGACACAGTACACTGACTCTGAGCCGACCAGTCCTTGTTTTAGCCCCTTAATGCTGAGCGCCAGACAGGGTAAGAACAAGTACCATCTTTTAACGTCTTTTGGTATGACGCGGACGGGGATCGAACCCTGGACCTTCCGCTCTCCGGGCAGACGCTCTACCACTAGACCGCGGAGGCAGTCTCAATTGTATGAAACACACCTAACGTAAAATATTATAAACTGATACTGTTTTGAATTGTTTCTCCATTTGATGCTGCATGTGAGGATTCTGTATTTGAGGACTTGACAAAAGTTCCTTTAGGGGCCTGTTTCACAAACTAATCTTAGCCATAAACTGGTATAACGTCTCTGTGCAGGGATTAGAATTTTTGTAGAATTCTGCAGATTTCATTTTGTCGAGGGTCATTTTTGTGAAACATGTACATGCCCTTACAATATACAGCCAAGTCTCGTTAATCCGACATTGTTGGTTGCATATGATTATGTCAGATTAATGAGTGTCGGATTAAAGAGACTTGACAGTACGCATAAACCATGGAGTACCCCAGATCTCTGGCTAATCCTTTTGATAGAGATGTGTGCCACGAACCTGTATATTCAATGACTTAAGTCACATGTTTGGTTCAATAAGGTCTCTATATGGTAAATTTGTTGTACTGTTACAGTGTGATGATATACAGGACAAGGGCTGCTGATAGAGATTTGTTGCCCTGACCATGTGTATTTAATGGCTCATGTCACATGTTTTGGTTCCAATATGGTCGCTGTTAAATTTGTTGTACTCATAGAGAAGTGTGATGATATACAGGACAAGGGCTGCTGATAGAGATGTGTTGCCCCGACCATGTGTATTCAGTGGCTAATGTCACATGTTTAGTTCCAATATGGTCCCAGGTAAGTGTGATGTGCTTATACTGAGGTGTGACTTTCAATAGCAAACATAACCATGAACTGTATCACATCTGTTTTAAAAGCTCACCTGGCCGAAAGGTCAGAGCTTGAGCTAATCATCCTTTTACATTCTTTAATTCATTGCTTTTGAGAAAGGCCCCGAAACCTTCATTAATGGTCAGTCTCATTTTTATTCATAACATCCAGGGCCCAAAAGAAATCTTTGGTCATTTGGCATCAATGAACACAGATAAACAAGTACTATGTTTTAAATATTGTGAAGCTTGTTTTATATTCCTTCCTCTGTGCACACTTTCAGCAAGGTGAGCTACAGCTATTTTACTGTAAATAATACAGAGTTAGGGCTATTCTGAGTCAGATATGTGCACAAACTCTGCATGTTCAGTGTCTCGATTGTCACATGTACATGATTCTACTTCTGAGGTCAGCCCGCCGCGATTCGCTGTGCAGAGTTGCGTCCCTTAGGCACGCCAGAAACCTATGATTGTGGGTTCGAATCCCGGTTCGCCCCGATTATGTTTCTAGGTTTGTCAGCACCATACCCGTGCTCGTGGGTTTCACCGAAGTGGTAAACGTCTAAGACCTGCTTTCTTCCCACATTAAGCTGACACGCCGTGATATGACTAGAATACTGTTAAAAGCGGCGTTAAACCAGACTCACTCACTCACTCTGAGGTCAGCCTAATTGTATTAAGGTAAGATTTAGTTCTTGTGACTCTGTTAAAATAATCTGTTTTGTGTTAGGTTCAGTTTTTAGTCCAAAGCAATATAGACAAACTCGAAGCTGGTACAGATTTGTACGATGGATGTGTTGCAGTATTGTTTTGTGTTTTTTGTTCATATTACAGATTGGAAGATTGTTCAAAGGGTCTTAAATTCTAGTTCGGTATGTAGAGGTAAATGGTTTGAGAACTGGGTCCAGATTGTGATAAGAAGACTTATCGCAATTCTCCCCAGGCTTGCATTCACTGCGTTTTTCCATCACCCATGACTAATGACTTACGAGGGGCGTTCAATAAGTTTTGCAACTTCAATATAAGACCAAGTCGCAGAATATCTTTTGCACTTATATTTTTTCAATATAATCTCCTTTCACCTCAATACACTTATTCCATATGTCCTTCAAGCTTTTAATACCACTTTTATAGAAATCCGCCCTCTAACCACGCCTCTGTGGCAGCCTTTATGTCCTCGTCATCCTGGAAGTGTCTTCCACGTAGGGCAGATTTCATTTGCCGGAACAGGAAATAGTCACAGGGGGCTAAGTCTGGACTGTACAGTTAAATCACCCACCCTACAGCCAAGACTTAGCCCCCAGTGACTATTTCCTGTTCCGGCAAATGAAATCTGCCCTACGTGGAAGACACTTCCAGGATGACGAGGACATAAAGGCTGCCACAGAGGCATGGTCAGAAGGCCAATCTGCGGTTTCTATAAAAGTGGTATTAAAGGCTTGAAGGACAAATGGAATAAGTGTATTGAGGTGAATGGAGATTATTTTGAAAAATAAAAGTGCAAAAGACATTCTGCGACTTGGTCTTATATTGAAGTTGCAAAACTTATTAAACGCCCCTCATATGTGGACACTAATGAATTGAGGCAGTGTAAATTACATGAGCTGTACTCGGTGCAGTCCCTACCATAACCTGACACTGAGACAATGTGTAGAGGTCTCAAGGCTACGGTGCATGTTGTACGGCACGTATTGCCGATGTAAGCTGAAAGCTCATTGGTCTGAGCAGTCACTGTTTCCCTCTCGCTGGAACCAGGCCGTGATATGATTCGTTCGTCAAAAATAGAGGCCACACCTACAGCGGATGTATTTGTGGTGATGGCTTAACACAGTGTACGCAAACCTGCCAAGCTTTGACAATGCAAAGCCTATTTAGACTTTTTCAGTAGTAATTTTGCACATTTTGATACTATTGTTTTTCATATGAATAAACTTAACATCGATTCTCTCCTAATTTTATAAGGTTAACGAACATTAAGTTTTAGTGTGTGTATTGTGAAATGGATGAGCAACTGTGTTTTTGTGATATAATATTTTATTTTCTGCTAATAATATTGATGAAAAGGATAAGAGTATGGTATATGAAATGTTATGATATTTTAATCACTAAATATTTATACTTGTCACTGTTATTAGCAGGTGCTTAATGAGGTTTGTGTTTATTCATGTTTTTGAATAAAAAAATGTGAAAGTTTTACAAATTGTTTTTTCTTCTGTTAAGGCACAAATCTTACTTTAATGGTTTTTAATTATATTTGCATTTGTGTCCCAGGACCTCATTCCACAAAGTGACAAGATCTTAACTCCCATACTTCAACACTGGACAGTTGTAGTGCTAAGACGATCACAACTCCCATATTTCAACACAGGGCAGTTGTAGTGCTAAGACGACCACAACTGCCATACTTCAACACAGAACAGTTATAGTGCTAAGACAATCACAACTCCCATACTTCAACACAGGGCAGTTGTAGTGCTAAGACAATCACAACTGCCTCCCATACTTCAACACAGGGCAGTTGTAGTGCTAAGACGATCACAACTGCCTCCCATTCTTCAACACAGGGCAGTTGTAGTGCTAGGACGATCACAACTGCCATACTTCAACACAGGGCAGTTGTAGTGCTAAGACGATCACAACTCCCATGCTTCAACACAGGACAGTTGTAGTGCTAAGATGATCACAACTCCCATACTTCAACACAGGGCAGTTGTAGTGCTAAGACGATCACAACTCCCATACTTCAACACAGGGCAGTTGTAGTGCTAAGACGATCACAACTCTCATGCTTCAACACAGGGCAGTTGTAGTGCTAAGACGATCACAACTGCCTCCCATACTTCAACACAGGACAGTTGTAGTGCTAAGACGATCACAACTGCCATACTTCAACACAGGACAGTTGTAGTGCTAAGACGATCACAACTCCCATACTTCAACACAGGACAGTTGTAGTGCTAAGACGATCACAATTCCAATACTTCAACACAGGACAGTTGTAGTGCTAAGACGATCACAACTCCCATACTTCAACACAGGGCAGTTGTAGTGCTAAGAGGATCACAACTCCCATGCTTCAACACAGGGCAGTTGTAGTGCTAAGACGATCACAACTGCCGCCCATACTTCAACACAGGGCAGTTGTAGTGCTAAGACAATCTCAACTCCCATACTTCAACACAGGGCAGTTGTAGTGCTAGGACGATCTCAACTCCCATACTTCAACACAGGACAGTTGTAGTGCTAGGACGATCTCAACTCCCATACTTCAACACAGGGCAGTTGTAGTGCTAGGACGATCACAACTGCCATACTTCAACATGGCAGTTGTAGTGTTAAGACGATCACAACTGCCATACTTCAACACAGAACAGTTGTAGTCCTGGGGACCTATTCTAACCCGAAATCCCCATTGGGAGACATAAAGTGGCTGGGGACCTATTCTAACCCGGAATCCCCATGGGGAGACATCTTAAGTGGCTGGGGACCTATTCTAACCAGGAATCCCCATGGGGAGACATCAAGATGCTGGGGACCTATTCTAACCCGGAATCCCCATGGGGAGACATCAAGTGGCCGGGGACCTATTCTAACCCGGAATCCCCATGGGGAGACATCTTAAGTGGCTGGGGACCTATTCTAACCTGGAATCCCCATGGGGAGACATCAAGTGGCCGGGGACCTATTCTAACCCGGAATCCCCATGGGGAGACATCAAGTGGCTTGGGACCTGTTGTAACCCGGAATCCCCATGGGGAGACATCAAGTGGCTTGGGACCTGTTGTAACCCGGAATCCCCATGGGGAGACATCAAGTGGCCGGGGACCTATTCTAACCCGGAATCCCCATGGGGAGACATCAAGTGGCTTGGGACCTGTTGTAACCCGGAATCCCCATGGGGAGACATCAAGTGGCTTGGGACCTGTTGTAACCCGGAATCCCCATGGGGAGACATCAAGTGGCCGGGGACCTATTCTAACCCGGAATCCCCATGGGGAGACATCAAGTGGCTGGGGACCTATTCTAACCTGGAATCCCCATGGGGAGACATCAAGTGGCTGGGGACCTATTCTATCCTGGAATCCCCATGGGGAGACATCAGGTGGCTGGGGACCTATTCTATCCTGAAATCCCCATGGGGAGACATCAAGTGGCCGGGGACCTATTCCAACCCGGAATCCCCATGGGGAGACATCTTAAGTGGCCGGGGACCTATTCCAACCCGGAATCCCCATGGGGAGACATCAAGTGGCCGGGGACCTATTCCAACCCGGAATCCCCATGGGGAGACATCAGGTGGCCGGGGACCTATTCTATCCTGGAATCCCCATGGGGAGACATCAAGTGGCTGGGGACCTATTCTAACCCGGAATCCCCATGGGGAGACATCTTAAGTGGCTGGGGACCTATTCTAACCCGGAATCCCCATTGGGAGACATCTTAAGTGGCTGGGGACCTATTCTAACCCGGAATCCCCATGGGGAGTCATCAAGTGGCCGGGGACCTATTCCAACCCGGAATCCCCATGGGGAGACATCAAGTGGCCGGGGACCTATTCTATCCTGGAATCCCCATGGGGAGACATCAAGTGGCTGGGGACCTATTCTTACCCGGAATCCCCATTGGGAGACATCTTAAGTGGCTGGGGACCTATTCTAACCCGGAATCCCCATTGGGAGACATCTTAAGTGGCTGGGGACCTATTCTAACCTGGAATCCCCATTGGGAGACATCAAGTGGCCGGGGACCTATTCTAACCTGAAATCCCCATGGGGAAACATCAAGTGGCTGGGGACCTATTCTTACCCGGAATCCCCATTGGGAGACATCTTAAGTGGCTGGGGACCTATTCTAACCTGGAATCCCCATTGGGAGACATCAAGTGGCCGGGGACCTATTCTAACCTGGAATCCCCATGGGGAGACATCAAGTGGCTTGGGACCTGTTGTAACCCGGAATCCCCATGGGGAGACATCAAGTGGCTGGGGACCTATTCTATCCTGGAATCCCCATGGGGAGACATCAAGTGGCTGGGGACCTATTCTATCCTGGAATCCCCATGGGGAGACATCAAGTGGCCGGGGACCTATTCTAACCCGGAATCCCCATGGGGAGACATCAAGTGGCCGGGGACCTATTCTATCCTGGAATCCCCATGGGGAGACATCAAGTGGCTGGGGACCTATTCTATCCTGGAATCCCCATGGGGAGACATCAAGTGGCCGGGGACCTATTCTATCCTGGAATCCCCATGGGGAGACATCAAGTGGCCGGGGACCTATTCTATCCTGGAGTCCCCATGGGGAGACATCAAGTGTCTGGGGACCTATTCTATCCTGGAATCCCCATGGGGAGACATCAAGTGGCTGGGGACCTGTTGTAACCCGAAATCCCCATGGGGAGACATCAAGTGGCCGGGGACCGATTCTAACCTGGAATCCCCATGGGGAGACATCAAGTGACTGGGGACCTATTCTAACCTGGAATCCCCATGGGGTGACATCAAGTGGCCGGGGACCTATTCTAACCTGAAATCCCCATGGGGAAACATCAAGTGGCCGGGGACCTATTCTAACCCGGAATCCCCATGGGGAGACATCAAGTGGCCGGGGACCTATTCTAACCCGGAATCCCCATGGGGAGACATCAAGTGGCTGGGGGCCTATTCTAACCCTGAATCCCCATGGGGAGACATCAAGTGGCTGGGGCCTATTCTAACCCGGAATCCCCATGGGGAGACATCAAGTGGCCGGGGACCTATTCCAACCCGGAATCCCCATGGGGAGACATCACAGGTTGCTGGGGACCTATTCCAACCCGGAATCCCCATGGGGAGACATCAAGTGGCCGGGGACCTATTCCAACCCGGAATCCCCATGGGGAGACATCAAGTGTCCGGGGACCTATTCTAACCCAGAATCCCCATGGGGAGACATCAAGTGGCTGGGGCCTATTCTAACCCGGAATCCCCATGGGGAGACATCAAGTGGCTGGGGACCTATTGTAACCCGGAATCCCCATGGGGAGACATCAAGTGGCTGGGGACCTATTCTAACCCGGAATCCCCATGGGGAGACATCAAGTGGCTGGGACCTATTGTAGACCTGGAATCCCCATGGGGAGACATCAAGTGGCTGGGGACCTATTGTAACCCGGAATCCCCATGGGGAGACATCAAGTGGCTGGGGACCTATTCTAACCTGGAATCCCCATGGGGAGACATCAAGTGGCCGGGGACCTATTCTAACCTGGAATCCCCATGGGGAGACATCCAGTGGCCTGGGACCTATTCTATCCTGGAGTCCCCATGGGAAGACATTAAGTGGCTGGGGACCTATTCTAACCCGGAATCCCCATGGGGAGACATCAAGTGGCTGGGGACCTATTCTAACCTGGAATCCCCATGGGGAGACATCAAGTGGCTGGGGACCTATTCTAACCTGAAATCCCCATGGGGAGACATCAAGTG